GCCTATTAAGCTATCTGGACACAGCACACGGCTGTACAGAGTTTATAGCTCCAGGCAGCCATTAGGGTAAACCAGTCTTTCCATTTTAGGGCTTTATAATGGTGTTGGGCGTGGCCATTTATCAGGGCTCCTGTGTCATTCTGAGCCCCAACAAATTTTAGAGGCTCAAAGAACAGTTTCCAGTTGTAAATCATGTTGTTCTATAAACACTTTAAAGCAGTTCTGAAAGACAAAAGGATGCCCAACCAGATACAAGAATGGTGTACCTAATAAAGTGACCACTGAGTGTATAATTACTCAAAACAAAAATGTTGTTAAACATTAAAAAATCTCTGAGTTACAACATTCCAACTCCTGATGCAACAAATGTAATAACACCTTCGTGTTGTGGTGTAAAAAGAAAAAGTTGTTCCTGTAATTTTCCTGGTACTAATGGCATCATCAACTGGGAACTGAGTCATAACAGCTTACCACTTTCCCTCTTTTGACCTCATCAGTCTTAGAGCATCCTCAGCCATGAACTCAACCAGCAACATGATGGTAGTGATGTAACTGTTGTGGTTTTTAACGACACATTCAAAAGCACATTCAGAGCAATACGGATTATTTTAAAATGCTCTGATTACACAAACCATTCAGAGTAAAAGTCTTTAGAGGTTTTCTTGGCTCATGATGCACAACCGGACATTCATCAGTAGCCTACAGAGACTAGGTATGAAACTCTAATTATATTCTATACTGATGCTACAAATGCAGTAAACAGCAGCTCCCTCTTTAACACATTTTGAGTTTAAAATTCTTGTTTTATGTCTAACTGCTTTGCTGATGGATTAATTATTTTCCCACCAAAATAACTACAGAAAGTTCATTGATGCAGCTGTTCCTACCAAGTTTAATCATGTTGTGTTTTTAACTGACTGACGTTTAAAATATATGGTTAAGTCAGAAATACAATGTGTTGATTGAATTTTTTCTCCTCGAATATTTGATATCTGGATTAATTTATAGCAAATCCTTTAAAATCCAGATTATCAGGTGACTCCACATCCTATTCCCATCTAAATTTCAACTTTGTTACAATCTAGGATGGTAACTGTTTAATTTTCCATTAATTCTAAGAATTAAGTGCAGTTAGCTTCAAATTATATCAAAGTAGAGAAATAGCTTATTGACTGATTTCAAACATGACCACTAGATGGCGGTGTTGACCTTGTCTGAGGTCAGCAATACATCACGGTCTCCTTGAGTAACAACCACATACTATAGGTCTTCACTTATATTAGCCTACAATTATGGAGCTGATAAACATCAAACTTACCCCAACTCTGTATGGCAATCAGATTAACACCGAACATATAGGGTTAGGGCGTGTATATATATATATATATATATATATATATATATATATATATATATATATATATATGAAATGATAGGTGGGTACAGTTACACATGCACAATCACACTGTTTTCACACAAATCCACTACAAAGTTTAATAGAAAATAGGTTGAACCAAACACATTTACACCAAGTTCACTTGTTTTCAACACATTTCTCTTGTATAAATGAATGCCTTGTGAGTGATCTCAGTGGAAAGAATACTCTGGCGCTCCTAAAATACGATTTGGAGTCTTATTTCTTGATATTCGAACATCTTGCCCTTGTTTGGCTAACAGTAATGCAACTCTTCCACTGCTTTGCATTGCTGGTGTGTTAACTTCACAAATAAAACAAGCCTGAAAGATTTGCTAATTCTAATGGTTAGTTTCCACTAGCAGGGACGTGCTCTGTTCTTTCCTAGATGCTAAACCAACAACAGTCCTTGTCACGGCCCGAGATGAGTCCATTGAATGCTAATTTTCAATGTGACGTAGATGTGAGTAGCTTTTTTTTTCTTTCTTTTCCCCCCATGTCCTGTCCAGCTGTAAAGCAACTACAGTTTATGTCTGATTGCCAAAGGTCTACTCTCACAGGTGGAGCAGTATAGCTTCGGCTATATTGCCTCGCCTGATACCAAAACTTTATTAGAAAATGTTTTGGTTGTTTTTAATCCCATCAGGCATGGTGACAGAAATGAAAGTGAAAGGGGAAGAAGAAAGGAAGAAGTGGAGGAAAAAGAAAAATTTGCAAAAAATAAACAATAAGGGATGTAGAAGAATCCGTTTCTAGATCAGCAGAAAAGGAGGGGGGAAAAGGAGACACTCAAAAATACGACAGAACCAAAATATCACTGCACCAACTGCATGAGAATATATAACAGTAATCATTGTTGCTGAAAAGCACATGGTAATAATTCATAGTGCATTTAGTGCCAACCACAGCCTTAACTTATGTGTAAAAAAATGCCCAAGTCCAACTTGTGAGAGCACCATGTGAGCACCTGTGTGCGTACACGAGCTTGTGTATGTAAGGTTTCTCCATAGGAGTGTTCAATAGTGAGTATGAGGGGCAACAGATCTGCCCCAAAGACCAGCAGAAGATGGAGTTCCAGGCCCCAGAGGTCTCCCCTGGAGCAAAGAGACCCCAGGGAGACTGAGTAGCTTTTCTAATGCGGGCACTTCCCCATCTATTTTCTATTGACAGCTAATGCAGGGAAAAGGGGTAGAAGACTATTTTCCCATTTAGCTTGCATGTGAACAGCCGGGTGAATTTGGTCTTTAAAGGTACATTATGTACAGTGGGAAAATCCCAAAAGAGTCATTTTGGAAGGAAGGTTATACTGAAGCATATTTCATATCCAGCTGACTGCGGAGATTGTCAGTTTTTCTACTTTCAAAACAATAGAAGGAGGGAGGTAACTACTGTTGACCATCAGTGAGTGTGGGGTTTCCATGTCTCCTGCGAGCTAATACTGCAGGGCCGACAATTGTAATTTGACGACAGTCTACAAAAAGCTCCAGATTTGTTTAAAGTGGCTGCAGTAACCAAATTTTACCACAGTAAATAATTTTTACTTCATTTCTACATAATGCACCTTTAACATAAAAGTGGTGGCAGAACCCATGATCATGGGTTTTGTTTGCTCAACAGGTTTCCCTACACAGGTTTCCCTAAACCATTCAAATAAGTGCCTGATAAGAGAGCAGTGATATATCCTACGTACTAGCAATTTGTTTATTCCAAGGCTGAACTAAAGGGATGAAAACATGTTTGACTGCCTTTTGCCAATAATATCATACATCATAGGTGAGTGTGATGTCTACAATACAAGTCAGCACAACACATTCTCACACCCAAGGTGTCAAAATATGACGAATGTGACCAAGCGTCAATATATGATGAATCGGGACGCCCCAGCGTGTCAGGATAAGACGATTAGGGACACGGTGGGTCACGTGGCGTCACTGTTTGACGCGCGCGGTCACACGGACATTATTCAACTATTTAACCTTCCCCTCACCCCAATCCTAACCTTAAGGTCCATAAACTGTGACATTAAGGTTAGGGTTGGAGTGAGGGGAAGGTTAAGTAGTTCACAAGTAGTTCTAATGTCCGTCTCAGCACCAGCGTCGGATACTCTGGGAAGCTACGTCAGCAGTTTGTCCCTGATTGTCTTATTCTGATGCGCTGGGGCGTCCCGATTCGTCATATATTGACGCTTGGTCACATTTGTCATATTTTGACACCTTGGGTGTGAGAATGTGTTGGTCAGCACCGTTATCTCGACTGCTGGTCTTCAAACAGCTGACACTATACCCAGACATGGGCACACAAAGACATGAGTAGGGTTGTCACGGTAACCGGTATAGCGGTAAACCCCGGTAAAAAGGTTGACAATAAAAATAACCGTCCAGTTTTTAAAAAACTAAATTATCTCGGTGGGTTTACTGTGGCCGCGGTTTCGGCGCGGTGACCCTTACCAGCCACCGTCGCTTCAGCTGAAGTTCCCGCGGTGCGCACACGCACTTTTTAGTTTGCAACGGCACCAAAACTTTGAAGCTGAAATAATGGCCGAAGGAGGAGACGGCAGCGCCCAGGACATCCATCAGCCCTCAAAGAAGACTAAATCGGAAGTATGGGCATATTTTGGATTTCTGAAAAATGCTGAGGGACAGTTAATAGAAGACGGCTATCCCGTTTGCAGAACGTGCAGGAAACAAGTGTCTGCAAAAGGCAGCAACACTTCGAATCTCATGGCACATCTGCGTGACCATCACCCACGTCTCTACAGCCAGTGCAAGGTAAGTTAACATTAGCATTTTAGCTTAAATGCATGACGTGAGGACTTTTGGCTGAGGGAGAATGCAACGAATCACTATATACTGCAGCCGCAGCGTCCTCTGGCAGCATTTAAACCGTGTCACGGACACCCTGTTGCTGGATGAAGCATCTTATTTGTTGATGATGAAGAGAAACATACAATTAGTTCCTTTTCATTGATTTGTTTACTTATTCAATGCCATTTATACTTGAACATTTGGATTTGATTACATAGTGTAGTAGTTATTTTAGTCATTTGTTTAAAGTGGCTATTTATTTCAAATACATATTTTTTTAAGGTAGACTTGTACAGCGCTCAAGTCAAGTGTGGACTGGAGTTTTAGATTTTCATTTTGATAATGAAGAAAACAAGTATATGAGAAAACAAGTGGTGTTTCTTTGATTTGTTTACATATTGTTTATGTTTCGAATGTTTGGATTTGTATAATTTAAACCTGCACTGACTACTGTAACATGTTCCAGAAAAATAAGCTATTTGTTCCTTTACTTGTGAAAAGTTGCACTTTTGCTAAGGCTTTGTGTTATTTTAGGTTTAATAAACACTGTTAAACCTTTTCAAAACTATTTCAGTTTGTGTAGAACAGGACTATCAATGCTTTCTGAACATATGCAACACCGTTTAAAAAATACCGCGATAATACCGAAAACCGTGATAATTTTGGTCACAATAACCGTGAGGTTAAATTTTCATACCGTGACAACCCTAGACATGAGTGAGAAATACAGAAACAAACATTTCTCTGCAGCGTATAGCTACATCCTGAGCATCCTCACTCACCAAGCTGGAACAATCCTCCCCTCTGTGGGCACTACGACTCCTCATTCTGGGGAGACTTGCATCCACAGCACTGCTTGAAGGAGCGGACCGTCTCACCATGCTCCTAGACCGAAACCTATTCAACTCCTAGTAAAACAAAGAAAAACAGTTCAGGTCTTTGTTGCATCATATAACATAAAATATGCTTTCACAGAAATCACTGCATTAAATGGAAGGGAGTACAACTGTTTTCTAGTAATTTAGGACTGCTATGATGGAAATGAACTAATTTTGTACAATGGCATGAACCTGTCTCACTCACCTGGGATCCATGAGACTTCCTGTGACTTGCCACCGTCTCTCTGCTGTTTTGTGGAGGCTGAAGCTCTCTTGGGATCCAGATCTGCTCTCCTGAAGTGCTGGTGGAGACTTCATGGGGAGAGTTTCCAGTCTCTGGAATAATCCCTGGTGAAGGGGCCAAAACGGGAGGCTCATCTGGTAAAACGGGCCGAAGCCTCTGTAAAGTTTGGAGCCGTTCCTCCTGCTTAGAGACAACCTGTTCTGGAGTGAGCCTGCTGGCAGGTTTGTTGGGTTCAGCCACGGGTTTTACTACTGCTGTCTCAACAGGTCGTAGCTCCCAAGGATCCTGGAGAGATGTGGTCCATACTGGAGCTGAGAAACCCACTGAAGCATGCAATGGTATCTGCCAGTTAACATCTTTTTCAGGTGTGGGCTGTAATCTACCTCTCGATTCTGCATCAGGACTCCGAATACCAGACACAGGAAACAAATCTTTGCTCGGGGAGGCTTGAGTCTGAGATGTAAAGGAATCAATGTCAAGAATGACAGGTTTGTAGGGCTCCCTCCAGCGTGTGGAAGGGTCACAGCGTGGAGAAGAAGGTTGGTCACTTCTGAGCACCGAGTCCAGATCAAGAACTTTGGGCCTCATAGCCGATGACACCAACCTGATTCTCTCCTGCTCCTCTTCTTTCTGCTTCTCTTTTAATCGCTGTCTTTCTGCTTCTTGCTGTTTGGCAACTTGTCTGATTTTATCTACTTCTTCTTTTTCCATTTTTTCCTCCAGTCTTTGTTTCTCAAGCTCTAACGGGTTTGCTTGTTTTAGCTTCTCAAACTCCAAGAGCTGCCTTCTCTCCATTTCTTTGAGACTCTCTAAATCCTCCTTCCTTTTCCTTTCCTTCTCCTGTTCTCGTCTCTGTTTCTCAGTTTCTAATTGCTGTCTCTCAATGTCCAACTGTCTCTGGTGCTCTCTCTCTAAATCTCTCTGCCTCTGTATGTCTAGGTCTCTTTGCTTTTCCCTCTCGATAGCCATCCGATGCTCCACCTCCAACTCTGTTTGCCTGGCTTTCTCTTTTTCAAGCTCTTTTATCCTGAAACGTTCTTGCTCCAATGCCATCTGTCTTAATCTTTCTGCTTCTTTTTCTTTAAGTCTCAGTTTCTCCAGCTCAACAAGTTGCTGCCTCTCCTTTTCTTTCTGCTTCTGTTTTTGAAACTCTAAAACCTGCTGCCTCTCTATTGCTTTAATTCTTTCCATCTCCTTTATCTTGTTTTCCCTTTCTTGTCTCTGTTTCTCCTCCTCTTTTTGTCGTTCTTTCTCCTTTTCTAAATCTCTTTGTCTCTGTTTCTCCATCTCAACCTGACGCTGTATCTCCCTCTCTTTTTCAAGCTCTTTTATTCTCAACATTTCTTGGTCTAACGCCATCTGTCTTAAACTTTTTGCTTCGGTCTTCTCTTTAAGTCTCTGCTTTTCCGACTCCAGTTGCTGCCTGTCCTTCTCCTGCTTCTGTTTTTGAAACTCTAAAACCTGCTGCCTCTCCATGTCCACGATTTGTCTTTCTTTGTCCAATTGTCTCTGCCTCTCATATTCCTTTTGTCTTTGCTTCTCCTTTTCACGTTCTCTCTCCCTTTCTTGCTCTCTCCTCTCCAGTTCTTGCTGTTTGTCTTTCAGAAGTTGCTGTTGTCTCTCCTTCTCAATTTCTTTTTTTTTCTTTTCTAATTCTTGTCGCTTTTGTTTTTCAAGCTCGATTTGTTTAAGTTTTTCCAAACCACGCAGTTTCTCCTCAAGTTCTTGTTTCTCCTTTTCAAAATCGTTCTGTCTTTGCCTTTCAAATTCTCTTTGCATCTCCCACTCCATTTGATGTTTCTCCATTTCCAGGAGTTTTCTTTTTTCTTTTTCGAGCTCTCTCATTTTAGCCCGGTGTCTCTCTGCCTCCTTTGTTAGTTCCCTCTTTTTTTCAGCTTCAATTATTTCTTCCTTGGTTTTTTCTTCTGTCTGTGACCTGATCTCCATGGGTAAGGCATGGCTCCTCTGCATCAGTTCATCCAAAGTATTGTGGGACTGAGTGGGGCTTCCAAAAGTTTCTTTTACTGACTGATTCCTTCTAACTGGGAAAGTTTTTCCTTGTGAGCCGCCCAAAGCAGACCTCACAGAGACATCATCTGAGAGTGAACTCATGTCTCCAAAGATTGTTCCTCCACTTCTAACAGAACCAGACTCCTGCATTTGACCAGTCAAAGCAAAATAAGTAGCTCTGGGTTTTGATTGCTCCTCTGCCTGCAGCATCTTCGGCCGTTTAGGGGCTGCGGCCATTTCATCCTGGTCTGCCGCTTTTAGACCATCATTATCCAAAGCTACTTGTCTTTCCCCATCTGAATCATTCAGCATCCCTTTATCAACACCTGTCTCTTGGTCAAAAGATGTAGTGGTCCATTTTTTTAAAGCTCCTATTCTGAGGTATCGTGGTTGCTGTTCTGATTTCGGCTGTACTTGTGCTGGATCAGACCTCTCCACTGTCGACCTGCTCACCTCTGAGCGTCTGGTGTGAAGCGTCATTGCCTTATCTTCCCATTTGGCTGTTGGGACACTCTCAACCACTGCCTTGTTTTCTTCAACTGCCTGCAATGTATCAAAGGCATGAAACACCTGGAAAGGACTTGATGGGGATATAGGTTCCTTGTAGGTGGCAGTGACCAGAGTTCCCTCATCCTCTGAATCTTCTTTATTTAACAAAATGTTGTTGAGTGAACCCCTGGTTGTATTTGCAGATTCATCTTGGTCCATCACTAACACACTCTGCCTCTCAACAACATTTTCAAACAAGGAGGCTCTCACTGCATGTACTTCACCATCAGCACCATCTTCCTTGAAGGTGGCCCATCGCAGTCCCGTCTCAGAACATTCCGGTGTGGAAGCCTTTTTGAGTAGATCTGAAGAAATTCTCAAATCCAAAAACATCTGGTCATTAGGAGTGAGAGCTGACTCTTCAGCCTGCAGAAATTAAGGCATTCAAACACATAAATTAACACATTTGAATCTTTTCCTGGCACACTTCCAACACCATGCTCATTTCTTTCAAATAGAATTGTGTACAGGAATTACGGGATGTCCCGTTCCTATATCGAGAATAGGTTTGATATTGTCCCAAAAACACTGATTTTATCGGACTGCGTCAAAAATCTCCGGTATAAGCAGTTCGTTATGCTTTAAATTTCATTCCAGCAATTCTATCCAGCAGCACCCAGATCCAGCATGCAAAGCCCATGTGATCAGACCAGTGTGTGCTAGCAAAGTAGCAAGATACACGAGCGATGTCGGCTGCAGGGCAGTATTTTTTGTTAAAGTCCGCAAAAGACAGTGTGGCTCAAGTAAAACATAACTAAAGTGTCCTTGAATCAGTGTTAGGCACTTTAAAAATATATCTTTTGTTTGTTTATTTAGTTAAAATATTTTTCTGAGTATTTTTATTTATTATACATAATCTTTAAGGTTTACATTTATGCAACCAATAGTTAATTTAAAAAAAAGTTTTTTATTTAACTTATTGTTGCTGGCTTTTGTTCTCTGAGTAATATCACTTGATCAGGGCTTTCATACATTCCGCACTACAAAAAAAAGCTAAAGCGTGTATGATTTGGGGCGACGGTGGCACAGAAGTTAAGTGCTCGCCCCATAATCGGAAGGTTGCAGGTTCGAGCCCTGCTCAGTCTGTCACTGTCGTTGTGTCCTTGGGCAAGACACTTAATCCCCCTTGCCTGCTGGTAGTGGACGGAGGACCCAGTGGCATCTATGTACGTCAGAACCTCTGTCAGTGCACCCCAGGGCAGCTGTGGCTACAATGTGGCTCATCACCACCAGGGTGTGAATGTGTGTGAATGGGTGAATGACTGACTGAGTAGAGCGCCTTGAGGGGTTCCGGGACTCTAGAAGGCGCTACATCAAACACAGGTCATTTACAGGCCATTTGTGCTGGTATCGTATCGGATTGATACCTGTATCGGTCATTACTGATGGCTGCCATATCGCTATCGTATCAGAAGTGAAAAAGTTGTATCGGGACAACCCTAAAAGAAATACATCTTTTAAAATCAATTCTTCAATAAAGGACTGGACAACAGAGCAAAATGCATTATGAGAATTCAAGTGATCAACTGCCAGCAAACAACTGGCACACCTTTGATCTATGTTAACCTTAGGAGTATGGGTGTGGTGCTTAAGCAGTAATCAAAACCTGACACTGGTGATTGTTTCTCTGCATGTTCTGTGACCGAGAGCCACAGGGGACGATTAATTCTTGGTACCTCTTTAGCTCTCTGGTGTGTTGTTGCAGTGCCCCATTTCTTTTATGAAATTTAGACCTAGACAGACTGCTTTGGGTTATAGTAGCAGTAAACATTCTTTAATATGCCATTATACTTGATCTCACTTCTGAAACCTGCTGTCCATCTTGATGTCCTTCCTTCATTATAAAAAATGTAATAACATAAGATGGGAAAAGCTTTTCTGGCTTAGGACTAAACCAGTCTAATTATTTTCTTTACCTACTGACAACAGATTGAACTCAACTAAATCTCAATCATCATGAATCTTAGCTCCTCACTCACCCCTCTCTGGGGATCTTTGCTGATTTCTTGGAGGTCTTCAATGCCTGAAACTAAGTCTGGTGACGTCTCAGAAGAAAACCTGATGAACATACGTCACACAAGACAAAGACCATGCATGACAATGAAGCTTGAGGACAAAGACAAGGAACAAAAGCAGGCTAAAACACAATGTGCAGCTCTTACCTTTTGGTAAGGTCAAGAGGCAAGGGACGGGGTTTCACAACTGGTTTTACGACAGGACTCTGAGTGGGCGATACATCCTCAGTCAGTTGCTTAATGAGCTTTTTAACACCCACTGCTGGTTCCGTTTCGGGAACTGGCTGTACTGCATAGCAGGTGTCTTGTCCTGTGGTTCCCGTCCCCAGAGAGGGCGATGAGTCAAGAAATAGACTTATTCGTGACTTGATGCTACCCATGTGCTTTTCCTCCTCTGAGTTTTTTACTATGGATTCTTCTGCCCTTTTGTCGTTTTTGTCAAGAGCAGCTAGATTAGTTAAACCATCAAAGCTTTGTGAGCTTTTATCCTGCTCTGTCTTCAGTGGTGGTTTCTTTTCTGTGGGAGTGTTCTCTTTAGAACTTGCCATAGGACTTTTACGATGCAGAGACAGTCCAACAGACTCAAATTTGGATGTGAGATCAGCTGAAAGTGGTCGTCTGCCGGTCCACTGAGGAGAAGGAACAGGCATCTCTGTCTTGGTGGGGGTGCCAGGGAAAATGGCGGATACAGGTCTGGGTCTGGAGCCTCTGGACTGGGGTCGCAGTAGAGCAGATACTTCAAGCTGAGTTTTGACTTTTTGATTTTCTTCTTCCTGCACAGCTTCAGCAAGAAAACCTGTGGACTTGGCTCTTGTAATAGATGGTCCTTCTTTGTTCTGTCTGTTCTGCCGACTGTCATTTTCCTTTGTAGTGGTTCCAGACCATTCGGCTGCTGGAAGTGTTTTAAGGCCCTTAGAGTCGGCTAAGCTTAATGCAGCAGGTTTATGCCTCTGAGATGGCACAGGTCGAGTGGGTTTACTGATGTCCACAAGGTCAAAAGAGGGGGCAGCTTTAAAAGGCTGGACTACTGGCTTGTTTGTTTGTCCAGTGTTCAATTTATTAGATGTTTTATAGATGGTAGGGGCAGGACGGTTAGGGTGTGTCAACGCTTGTCTTGGTGTTGGTTTTGGCGTATTTGGCAGATCTGGTTTGAATCCAGCGAGACGAGTGGATTCAGGTCGGGGTTTGGTTCTGGGTTTCGGGGCCAATATGGGCTTAATAGTGGGATTTTTATCTACAACAAATGGTTTGGGAGTGAACCTTGGTTTAGGATTTGTGACAGGTTTGTCAGATTCTGATGACATAAAGTGTGATTCGCTAATAGAAGGGATCTCAATGAGACTCTTGTTACTGGAGTCAGTCAGGGGACTCAGGTGAGGTCGTCCACCTGCTACATCCCCGGTTTGAACTTCCACCTGAGCGGCCATCCTTTAGAACAAATAAAAGAACAAATAAGAACAGAAATTTAGTTTTACCAACTCAACAACTACATCTAACAAAAAATAAAACATAACCCAGAATCTTCCTCAAGGTAATTCCTCACATTATGTAAAATTATCTGGATTAGATGAAAATAAATACATCAAAGAAATTGTGTAGAAACAGTCTGAACAGACTTTTAACCTATTTTGAAGAGGCAAATGTAGCAATAACGATTTATACCTGGGCTTGGATTTGATTTTACATTAGGTCAGAATAATGGATGGATTAAAAACTTAAGCCTGAGTTCTGTTTGATTCTGATGATATAAATCAGAAATCTTTATATTTGCTGATTACTGACTGCTTTTGCATTGTCAGAACAGAAGTAGGAACACAGAGATGGACCCAAAAAAAACCCTGTTTTGGTCCATTAAAGCTCTCATCCACTGTGGTCTCTAGTATGAGTGAATTAGTCGATCTCCATTGACAAACAACTCTTGAGTCCCTGTTTCATGAAGCAGAAGCTAACCGGAGAAGTGGGGCAGAAAACTGCAGGATTTGAAGTCTTACTCATCAGTATTTCCTGATGTTCAACTCTCCCTTGACTGGCTAACAGCAAAGCCACTCTTCTACTGCCTCCATTTGCTCAGCAACATTGAATATGTTATCTCCACAAATACCACAACCCTGAAGGAGTTCTGCTGTGTTGTGGAGTTGCTAAGCAGCTTTTATTAGCCAAGACAAGCTCTGCTCTCTCCTGGCTGCTAAGTCAACATAGCCCTTCCTGGTCGCGAGCCAAGATTGGCGAGTCCAAGAATGAACATGTACCGTGTGTTGTAGATCTGTATGGCTATTTCTGACCCGAGTGCTTCCCTGTCTATTTTTTTCAGCGACTAATGCAGGAAATATGGGTGGAAGACTAATTTCATGTTCAGCCTGCATGTGAATAAAGTTAGAGCTGGGGATCTAATCAACGAATCACTGATTACTGGACATCTGTGCCACTTGTAGGCTTAATAAAAAAATAAATAAATTATATATGGCTTACCTGATGTAGTTTTGATTAACTCAATATACCCTCACCAGTGCCAAGCTGTCCGTGACCCACAGGATTAATAAAAATATAAAAAAAAACATGTTGTGGTTTCAAATTAGAACCATTCTGTACCATGTCCAAAAGAATTAAATGAAACCAATATCCAAGAAAACTGTGATGCAAGTACAGCACAAGTAGACAATACACTTATGAAAAAGGCGTTTATAGGGGGGTTTCAATGAGAAACCATTTTTAATAGTTTGAAAATGATCGGTCACTCAGAGTTTAAAATGCAGCCTGATTGTGAAAATTGTGTCCTACACCAATCCCCTGCATCAGCTTCTGAGAGAACATCTTAACTACTAGAACTCACCAGACAGAACTAGACAGTTAGCATTAGCAACTCCACAACATGGCAGAACTCCTTCAGGCTTGTGTTATAGCAGGAGATACAACATCAACGTTGCAAAGCCAACTGCACCAGTGGTAGCGGTGCGTTGCTGTTAGCCAATCTGAGGTGAGATGTCCACCGTGGCTATAACTACAGCCACCGTGGCTATAACTACAGCCACTGTGGCTATGGGGGCAACGTAAAAGGTGTCTGTCTGGGCAGTGGATGCTGTCACAGCAATTCATATCTATAGCCATTGGTTGTTCTTGTAGCTACAGGACAGCAGTCACAGCTATTTGTGGCTACGAGCGCGCCCTCGTGGCTGTGGCTACAATTGGAGCTCGGCCTCCCTCCTTTAAAAGTGGCGGGAACAATATTGTCAACTATAAATATTAGTGGGGATGTGTCCCTGGCTAAAATGACACCTATAATTGCATGACTCCACTATGTTACAACTGAAAAAGATCAGTGACCTTAGAGAACACAGCTATATGTAACTTATTAAATCAGCTTGTAAAAGTGCATCACCAACTTGAAGCACTGGCATAGTAGTGGTCATGATCCCATATCTATGGAAGTAAAGCCTGTAAAAGGGAGGGGCTGGAAAATTGCGCAGTCATTGTTTATCTTTCTGGTTGTAATTGATGCTCGTTGGATGGGAAAAACACTCAACTCAACCCAATTTTTTTTTGACAAGTGATGCTAGCTCTGGTACTTCCCATCTCATAATGCTTTCCACATGTTGCTTCACTGACTTGTTTTGCTACACAAATCTGCAACTTTACATGCTGCTTCAAACTGCTGCAAATAATCCCGGCGTATCCTACCCGAAGAGGCGTCAACCATATGCTGTAGAGCTTCTGTTGAAACCAAGCCACGACATAGCACCCAAGACGGATGAGTTGAAGAAACCTAAGAGAAAAACACTTTATGTCAATGTGAGCTTTTCACTTGTGAAGACACTGTGTTTGATACTGAAGTAGAAGGGAAAAAAATCACTGCAGTACAAAATAAAAGGGTTGCCTAAAAGCTGCTTTGTTGTTGTATCCTCACGCCTTCCTACAGAAGCAAATAGATAATAATGTGTACACTGACACAGACTTGAGTAAACAGTCACTCCCAGACATTTGAGTCAATGATGGCTTATGTTCTGATGTAAAATAAAACAAAATGCTCCCAGAAATTCATGTAGCTGCTGCAGTGTGTTCACTTTTTTTGTTTATTTATTTGCATTGTGGCCTACAGCTCATGACTCGACTGCCACGGCTCACACGTGTATTAAATCTGTTTCAAATTAATCTGTCAGTATTGGGACCATAAATAAAATAGTATCTTATCTTATATGCTGCTTTTGGGGTTCTTTTAAATACAGTAGAATGTGTAACTGCTCGTCTGGGAAAGGTGCTGGATCAAAAAGTGGAATAAACAAAATAAGAATCCGCACACTTCAATCTGCGATGTAGGAGTTTATTGGTCAAGCTTTCGGTCAGAGACCTTCATCAGGAATATTCAGGGTTGTCAGGGTTCTTTTAAATAAATAAAAAAAGACAAGTAAAAAGCCTCTTGGCCAGGACTTCCTTGAAAATGTTTTTTTTATCTCAATGGGACCTTCCTGGTTAAATAAAGAATAAATAATAATAAAATAAGGATGATGCTGAGAAAGTTTTGTGGTATGTGGTTCGCATTAAAGGATTGCAAAGTTTAAAAATTAGTGGCCTTTTTGTGTTGACAGGAAACGCCCCCACCAAGATGGAATGCTAAACATTCACTGTGATGGTGGGTTGAGTAGCACTGCAAGGATCAGGAAAGCATCTGCCTTGTATAGGTTTTTATATAGGATTGGTCCTACACACTAAAGAACAGAGACAGAGACTTTGGGGCAGCAGTAGCTCAGGTGGTAGGGCGGGTTGCCTCATGTTCGGAGGGTCATGGCTTCGATTCCAGCTCCCGCCAGGGGTATCCTGCTGTTGTGTCCTTGGGCAAGACACTTCACCCAACTTGCCTGTGTTAGTGGCGGTCAGAGGGGCCGACGGCGCCAAATGGCAGCCTCATCTCTGTCAGACCTCCCCAGGGCGGCTGTGGCTACAAGTAGCTAACCATCACTAGCAGTGTGTGAATGTGAGAGTGTGTGAAAGCGTCTTTGGGTGTCTAGAAAAGTGCTATATAAGTTCAATGCATTATTATTATTAAATTAAAAAAATGTTAGAAATCTACTTTTCTACAAACTAGTGTGAAAAAGCAGGCTTAAATATAGCAATATTTGCAATTTTAGGGAAAAAAGAAAAAGCATTTTACTGATTTTTAGAAGGCAAATGCGGGTGGCTAGGCCAAAAGGCCTGCACAGAGTATGTCGTGTTTCAACAGCCAGGAATACAAAGTCAGTAACCTGGCTCGGCCGGTTATTCAAAGATTTTACAAAAGGACATGTCCTTATAAATGCATGTCACCAATTTAACAGGGGAAAGCACATCCTCTCTCAGGAGAGTTCTAGTTTATTGTGAAGTAAAGCTGATACCCACAAACTTCAACTACACAGCTGTTATTGCTGAAGACTTTTACCATTTAGTGATCTTCATCAAATTTGATCAGACAGACAAAAACGTATTTTAAGATAGAAAAACTAAGTTTAAATGTAACAAAGTGACCGTCCACCTTTTCATAAGGAGATGCTCATTTAGTAAACACCTCTTAACAAATGATGCACTTTCTCAAATAAATATCAGTTACTGTATAACTCTACAACACAGCTGTTCCAGAACACAATGATCAACAAGTGGTGTTTCTTCGTTGCCCCCTCTGCTCATCTCAAATACCTGGGCTGGTAATTCGGTCCAGTTTAGCTAAACTAAGTTACTCCAAACAGAATCAACTTTAAGCAACAAAACGTGTGCATGCGAAACAGTGCGATCAAATGAAGCCTGCCTCCAAGACTGATAAAAAAAAACTCCGGTGACTTAAAAGAGCCAATAAACGCCTCAAGTGCTTGCTCGCTAGCCGCCGAGGGCTAACAACTCAAGAACTTACAAAATGGAAACACTGCGTGAACCTGCCTTTTGGTGGCTGTTTGATCCATGGTGGAGATAACTTACCCAACGGCCAAATCGGGGTTTCTTCGTCTCTCGTCGAAACAACTTTAAACGCCGTATCCAGCTAACTTAGCACGATAATTACGAGTTGTGACAATTAGTTAGTACATACGTTAGCAGAGAGGCTAAGTTAGCAGGTTTACGACCGTCTATCCCGTCTCTGGTTGCAGTGTTGTTGACAGGATAGACCTGGCAGCAGCGCTGAGAAGCAAGGAAGCCGTCTGACTGGTTAGTCTCCGCGGGCCGTCGACTGAGCCAACGGGACATTACAGTTCCGGTTGATACTTTCAAAATAAAGTGCATCATCCTATAACTTGTTATATTCTTTGCAAACAAAGTTTACTTTACATCAAAATGCGCGCATGCAGGATGGGGTTTGTTTAAATATCAAAACATTTCAATATTGAATAACGTGAGCCACAAACTAAATCACGAAAACAAAACTTTTGAGAACATTGACCCAACTTCCGGTTTGTATTCTGCTGAACGTAAATAACTTTATGCTCTAGGCGATCTCGAACTGAAAATGGGATGGGATTCGACAAAAATGATCCCATTCCCACATAAAACCAAGTGGCAATTTTCCACAAGTTAATTACTATCAGTTCAAATTATTTAGAAATTAGTAAATTATAACATGTTGGTTTCTAATATTCAATTCAAATTCAAAAATACTTTAATCCCAAAGGGAAATTGATTTTTTTAACATAGCATTTCCTGACTACTAAAATCAGTCAGTAGTTCATACATCACTATTACTACAACTAATAAAATGTCCCAGATAACTTTCACACTTGATAACGCTGGTTTATCAGGACTGCCCTCATGTGGAGTGGAGCAAAGTCAATTCTGCAATATTCAATATTGTGACTTCTGATGATGAACTGCAACACTGTCAGATATTTGTGCATTAATCTTTATTCATTACACATTCTACTCATTCGTTATAGCCCACAGTCCTGCTCAAAAAATAAGTGAATTAAAGAACCCTCAAACAAAACTATCCCATAAACTTCTTTTTTCAGCATTCCTCCAAACTCAACACTTTTTAACACTGAAATAAAGCTGGGAGTTAACATTCCAAATCCCAAAAATTACACAGGACAACGTGAAAGAAAGTAAAGTGTGTTTCAGGTTTAATGAGGTTAAATGTTTTCCGTTGAGCCTTATAGTTTATTACAATAGTGGGTTTCAATTGCTTGTATAATATGTTTTATGGCAATACAAAATACTACAATTCAGATTTTTGCAACCTCTAAAATGTAGCATCTTGAGGGTTAACACTGCAATAAACACTGAAAAACACCCTCATTTGTAAGGTAAGTTTCTAGGCTGATGCTGCAAATTCTGTATGTTTGGAAAGATTCAAAGGTGCAAAGTACCTGCAGCTGGCTGACTGCTACCTGGGTAGGAAGCCCCCTAGAATAATTTTGCCCCTATTACCAACAGGTCCTGAATGCAATTCTCAGTTACTAAAGAGGAGGGAAAAAAACTAAATGTTGTCGAGTCAGCAACTTTTTATAATTCTTTGTTTTGCATCTGAACTAGAAGTTACCTAAACAGCTTCCAGTGTGGTTGGAACAGGGAACAACTTTGACCTAGAATGTCAGAAAATTAAACTGCTGAGGAAACGGCAAAAACAAACCAATGAAGCAGACTAAAGCAGCATGAACTTTGGCTACACACTACAACCTGTTTCCATGGTTCCAAGAAAAAAGGTCATGGAAGTAAACAAAATAGGAGCTGGAAGATTGTGAAGAAATGAACTTCAGCTGCGTTTACTTCGTGTGAACCATGGATGTGCTGAACAGAAGTTTCTGCTTTTTCTTTTTCTTCTTTCCTCCCTTTTCATCTATAAGAAAACAAGCAAAAAATAAGTGATAATGCAAATTAAACACAAATGATTCGTGAAGAGGAACAGACCTGGTTCAACCACAGGCTGTGGCAGGGAAGCAGGACTGCTGTCCAGCTGCAGAAGGGCCTTCTCAAAAGCCTGACTGAAGGAATTCTGAAAGCTAGGCACGGGAACACGATCCGACCCATCGCTCTCACCATCGCTGTCTGCCGCTGGGGGGGCAAGCAGCTTATCTACAGAGAACATTCATAATCCATGAAAACTTCACCTCAAATATACAAAAACAACTTTTAAAGATAATGTCACGTCACTTTCTACTGACTAATGTATCAAGTTGTACAAGCAGCTAAAAAAATTAATAAAATCAGTGAATAAAATATTCTCCCGAGCTAAAAAATGTTTAATTTTGTTTGATGCAAATGTTGGAGTGAAATACAAACATGATTTAATCATTTATATTTTAAGAGACTCAGGAAAAAATCTGTTGCGCTAAACAATTAGCCTGCATGGCACCTAAACGACCTTTAATGTCCACACCTCCACTCCTGCTTTACCTTTCTTTGGGGTGACCCTGGGTCCAGCATCAACTCGAGCTTTCCCATCTTTCAGCATCTAAACAGGAATGGTCCCAATAACACCACATCAACACCGGTGGTATAATCTCACAAAGCCAACACAAATTGTTTAATCCCACACACACCTGTGCAAACGACATGCAGTGGGGATCATCTTCCACGCTAGCCACAGGCGGCAAGGACACACTAAAACTAGGAAATCTCCATCCATCTAAAAATAACGGAGGAATTAAAGAGACCTAAATTATTTTAATTTCTAATGTTCACATACACTCACCTAAAGGATTATTAGGAACACCATACTAATACTGTGTTTGAACCCCTTTCACCTTCAGAACTGCCTTAATTCTATGTGGCGTTGATTCAACAAGGTGCTGAAAGCATTCTTTAGAAGTGTTGGCCCGTATTGATAGGATAGCATCTTGCAGTTGATGGAGATCTGTGGGATGCACATGCAGGGCACGAAGCTCCCGTTCCACCACATCCCAAAGATGCTCTATCGGGTTGAGATCTGGTGACTGTGGGGAACGTTGTAGTACAGTGCCATTGTCATGTTCAAGAAACCAATTAGGAATGATTGGAGCTTTATGACATGGTGCATTATCCTGCTGGAAGTAGCCATCAGAGGATGGGTACATGGTGGTCATGAAGGGATGAACATGGTCAGAAACAATGCTCAGGTAGCCAGTGGCATTTAAACGATGCCTAAGGGGCCTAAAGTGTGCCAAGAAATCATTCCCCACACCATTACACCACCACCAGCAGTCTGCACAGTGATGGATCCATGTTTTCATTCTGTTTACGCCAAATTCTGACTCTACCTTTTGAATATCTCAACAGAAATCGAAACTCAGCAGACCAGGCAACATTTTTCCAGTCTTCAACTGTCCCAATTTTGGTGAGCTGGTGCAAATTGTAGCCTCTTTTCCCTATTTGTAGAGGAGATGAGTGGTACCCGGTGGGGTCTGCTGTTGTAGCCCCTCCGCCTCAAGGTTGGGCGTATTGTGGCTTCACAAATGCTTTGCTGCATTCCTCGGTTGTAACGAGTGGTTATTTCAGTCAAAGTTGCTCTTCTATCAGCTTGAATCAGTCGGCCCATTCTCCTCTGACCTCTAGCATCAACAAAGCATTTTCGCCCACAGGACTGCCGCATACTGGTTTTTCCCCGTTTACACCATTCTTTGTAAACCCCAGAAATGGTTGTGGGTGAAAATCCCAGAAACTGAGCAGATTGTGAAATACTCAGGCCTAGTCCACACGTAGCCGTTTTTTTTTTTAAAACGAATATCCGCCTCTCCAAAAACTTGCATCCACACCACCTCGTTTTTAAAAAAAAATCTGTCCACACGTACCCAGATAAATACGTTGTTAAGGACATGCCAGACCTGTAGGCGGCAGTACTTCCCCCGTTCTTAACCTCGTCCTTCGTCTGTGGTCTTCCGCAAGGAGCAGTAATTCCGCTTGCAAAAACAAACCCATGCTGTCGGCTAGTGTAAACACAGGTCGCACACATGATGTCAGCATTTTTTTGTCATGGAAAGTGACGTTGCGGACCTTAAAACTCCGGTTTTGTCTGTCCACACGCAGACACCCAAAACGGAGAAAACGCAGATCTTCACTTTGGCCGGAGTTTTTAAAAAGATCTGTTTTCGTGTGAAAAAACTCCGTTTTCATGTGGATGACAGGCCAAAACGTAGAAAACTATCTACGTTTTGGCAGATCCCCGGCTACGTGTGGACAGGGCCTCAGACCGGCCCGTCTGGCACCAACAACCACGCCACGCTCAAAATTGCTTAAAGGGGCATTATGGAAGTTTGACAGCCAAAACATGTATAGAACTAATACATTTCTTCTTAATACATTCTCCTGCAATGCCCTGGTCCTGTAGAATGAGCCCTGGCATTTTTACTGCGATTACCTGTTTTTCTGTAAAATCACAAAAAAAAAAGAGAGCTGCTCGGGTCGAGCAGGCTGCTTCATGCGCGTTCACGCTCAGGCAAAGCCCTCCAAACCATTCTTTGAACGTTGTTTCAGCTGTCATGAAGGCTATAAATGTTACAGATACAAAAGACGTCACTGGCGCTTTAGCTCGTCTAGTTAGACGTCAGACTTTCGTGCAGAAGACCCGGGTTTGATTCTGGATGTGAACGTAATTATTTAGTTTCTTTTTTACATTAATGGTATATTTTTTTTACATTAAGATGCCCACATTTTTATTTGAGACTCGCTAAACGGCATTTAATTCACAGATAAAAAAAGATGTGGGTTCAACTTTCATTTTGGAACAATTTTTCAAGCAAGGGAAGGGAATGATCTGAGCATGCAGGAAGACTGACCCATCATAAACCTTTGTCGGCTGCGCTGAAGAGAAAGGTACAGAACCAAATTATTTAATTAATTAGCTGCGCGTTCCCCTGTCCTCCGACACACACACACACACACACACACACACACACACACACACACAAGGGACTGTCTCAGCTGTTATTTTCATTAAGGAGTGTGCACGTACAGCATGCATGCCTCGTGCACGAGCCTACTATTGAAGCTGCAGTTACGCTTCTTTTGGCCCGAGGGGGCAATCGCGAGCATAAAAATTCAAAATGCCGTAAAGTCCCTTTAAATCACCTTTCTTTCCCATTCTGACATTCAGTTTGGAGTTCAGGAGATTGTCTTGGCCAGAACCACGGCCCTAAATGCATTGCAGCAACTGCGATTGGTTGATTAGATAATTGCATTAAGGAGAAGTTGAACAGGTGTTCCTAATAATCCTTTAGGTGGGTTTACATAACAATGAGACATAGATAAAGAAAAAAACCTCAGAAGCACTTAATAAAATTCAAATGGAGGATCTGATGTTACCAGAAGAGGGGCTGGTGCTGAGAGGTGATGGGGGGGCTAAAGTGAAATCAGGCTGGACTGGTGGACTGCTGTTGTGAGGAGGAGAGCCAAATGCTGGAAAATGATGAAGGTTCTCCAATCCAATATGCACCTCAGGATCTGACAGACCACATGAGGGAATAAATATTACAACTGAGCCCAAAGAAAGTGTGTTAAGAAATAAAAGCCAGGAACTGTACTTACATTTACCCTGCTTCTTGTTCTCCTCAATTTCAATTCTTCTCTCTCTGCGTTTCTCATCTCTTGCCTTCTTCTGTCTCAGGCGCTTTCTTTTCTCCAAGTCATCTAAAAGTTGATTACTTTAGATAAAAAGCCAAAACCCTTTTCAATGACCACATGAAAAACCGAGTTTAAAATCTTCCAACCTGCAAAAGTGTCCAGAGTTTCTTTGGACAGGACTGGTGGTTCCAGGGCCAACTCACAGATGCTGAACTCACATGTGAGCGGCAGGTGAGCCAGGTAGCGATTCCTACGACGGACATCCTGAATGATGAAACATAGAAGCAAAAACTCTAAATGTTCATTTTCAAAAATGACAAGTTAAATCTGTTCTACACAACAAGGCTGAATGCGCAATGTGTGCCTTGACTCTTTTTTTTAAATCTGCTAACCTCAGTGATGGTGTGTCCAACTATCTCCACTACTGTGGCAGTGATGGTGTCAGGACAGGCCTCCAAGCTGCCGTATTCACGCAACAGACAGCGCACATTCACAGGATGCAGGAACATCTGCTGGCAGTCATCAGCTGGAAGACAAGTAGGAGAAAAACGTGGAGGAAAGCTCAGTTCTCAAACAGCCTACTGGTGATCTGGATCAGCCCATCTGCATTCTGTTGTACATAGATGAATGGAATAACATGTTGTGATTTTCTAATATTCTTAAAAACCTAAGTACTGCTTGCTTTGCTGAGGTTTTGTTAAACAGAGCAGGTAGGAGGGCTAAGAGCTACACACCTTGGTAGAAATAGTAGTACGGTCCATGCACCACACTGGTTGAAGCGTGTGCAGACTCTGATTGGTTGGCCAAGCTCTCCTCCTCAACCTGAGTCTCTGGGGCAACATCCATCACAGCCTCAGGGGACTCCTCAGGGACACTCTCCAGGGTAGATTCAGGAACATCTGGAAGCTCTGCAGCTGCTTTCTCTGTAACCTCCACCACCATGTCATCAAAAGCCGAAGAGTACTCGAGAACAGGCTGGGGTTGCGGCACAAACAACATGTCATAATTTGTTCCATGATCAGAGACACGATGCGGTCCGAAAGACTGGAGAAGGTTCTCTTGTGGACTCACCTTGGCACTGCTGACATTAGTCAACACTTTCTCCACTGGAGAAGATGGTTCTTTCAGGGTGAGTGAAGACAAATCAAGGGAGTGTGTGTTTGCCTTTTGTTGCTTCAGCAGCATTTCCTCACGCTCCTGTGACACAAAACCAAAAAAGCTTGCAGTTATAACTTTCCAGTCTCCTTCCTTTCAGGAAGATGTGCTCACAACTATCAATGCAAATTCAACCGATGCCCACAAATTTTGCTTGGACGTGCAATTTTGACCAATCTCTGCAACTTTTATGCAAATTAGCTCAAAAGCTGAGCCCGCAAGATATGAACAATACGTGATCAGGAAGCAGAAAATCCACGTTAGGAGATCGTTTAGGGCCGCTGCTGTAAAAAAAAGTGAGGCGCGAACCAGAAAAGCTTCTGCCGATCGCAATTCGACAACGGATTATGAAAGAACGGATAACGCTCGAAACGCGCAGATTCTTCCTGATGTAAGAGGTGAGTCTCCTCTTTGTGTTGGTAGTTTTAGTGTTGACACCTTCATAGAGCGCAACGTTCTGCGACTCTTAAAAAAACTGTAAAAACAGTGAAAAACGCTGGAAGCAAAGGGCTTTACTGATCAGGAAACAGCTGGCAGTGAATGAGTCAATAACAACAATACATCACTGATTTGTAGATCTACCTGTAAAAGACAAAGTGCGCTCTGAATGAAAATGCCCTGGGTGTCCTCCTCCTGACTGAGCTGAACCTGCAGGATTGCCTTCTCCTCTGAGACCAGGTTTAGGGCCTGTGCTGGAGAGGTCAGCAGTAGTTTGGAGTACGGGCTCAAACACGCATCTGCAACACCAGAAATGATAAAACTGTAGTCAGGGACTCAAAAATGTCTACAACAAATTCAGTGTTTTCAGTTTTAACGTTCTTTCTGCTTTTGCATTCAGGTTAAAACCTTCCTTAACCTCGTGTGTGTTTGCAGGCATACATGCATGTACGTATACATATTATGCCACCAAAGTCTAGTTTATACTTCTCTGTCAGCATGTTTGCAGAGAGAGAGAGAGAGAGAGAGAGAGAGAGAGAGAGAGAGAGAGAGAGAGAGAGAGAGAGAGAGAGAGAGAGAGAGAGCGAGAGCGAGAGCGAGAGAGAGAGAGAGAGCGCAAAAAGACTATTCCTTTTCTACTTCTCTGTTGGTCAGCGTTAAGAAGCAATACTCCTCCAGAACAGCAGAGGGTGTAGCGCTTTTCTGGGTTATCCTGCCATCAATGCAGTCATGTCTCTATTGTGTTTGTACTATATTTATGTATTTCAGAGCATTTTTAACATGAACAAATTTGTCCTATACTTCTCCATCCAGTCACCACCTCTAAACTCGCATTTCCTGTAATTTCCACACAAATAAAGTTTCCACCCTTGCGATGACGGAGAATGGCGTTGCGTGTCTCTGTACCGATGCAGAAGTCTAAACTAGCCCTAACACAGCAGTCCATTACCTCCAAGGCAAACAGGTTCCTCCACCTTCACCCACTGACAGCTTGGCAAAGCTACCAGACTCCCCTTCTCTCTCCGCATCAGGCGCATGGTGATTACATCTCCAACCATATATTGCTTTGTCTCCATAGCAACCACACTGCAAAAACAGAAAAATATCTGAAAACACTCTGAACAAATAACAAAAAGACATCACAATGTCATTAAATCCTATAAAGTGTTATATTTCCATTCTGCCCTTTTAATCCCTTATTTGCTTCGTCTTCCTGTTTACCTCTTCAGGTCAGCCGTGTGCACGGTCTCATAGCAGATGGGGCACTTGGACCAGCTCTTGTCACTAAGAGACAGGTAGTGTAACATGCACGGCCAGCAGAAGATGTGTCCACACCGAGTGATGCGGGCAGTCACAGGAGGGTAGAGGCAGATTGGGCAAGACGGCACCTCATGACTGTAGATGCGCTGAGGGCAAACACGGTTTGTCATTATGTACTTTACTTTTATAGAAACATACGTTTTTTGTGGGGGGTTTTTTTACACTCACCACTTGCTGCACACAGTCCCAGTTGACCAGTGTGTCTGGATCAGTGAAGTGAGCCTTATAGTCCTGGTCATCAGTCACCACAAACTGGCAACTGAGAAACAAAGAAAAGGTGATTTCCACGTCTGTATTTCTCTTTGAACATCCTAGGTGTGTTCTTGCTGTGTCTTTCTAAATCCATGCTTTCGTTCTTTTTTAAACACAGAAACAGTTTTGTTTACCTGTTTGTAGCTACAGTTTTGCCGACGGCTGCCGGCTTCTTCAGGCAGCCTGAAGAAGCCGGCAGCCGTCGGCGAAACTGTAGCTACAAACAGGTAAACAAAACTGTTTCTGTGTTTAAAAAAGAACGAAAGCATGGATGTGATTTCCACGTGTTCAGCCTGTTTTGGTTCGTAATGGCCTTGGCGCCTGCTTACTTGGCCTGCAGAAAGAGCTCCTTGTTGAAGGGCTTACTCTTGTGGCCCCACTTGTTTCTGCGGCCCCAATAGGAGTGGCCGACTTCTCCGATGCCATCATTACCACCGCGGGGTTCAAAGGTAAAGTTTAGCAGATGGTTCAAGCTTATTTTTTTCGGTCCAGAAAATTGTGCTGGGCTAAACTCGGCCCGGTGAGTCTCTGCTACCTGGGGAGGCAAAGAGCAACTCAAATAAAAATAAAAAGTGTCCAAAAGCACTGCTGAACAGAGCGAGTCTCAATAATGAGCAAAAATTATCAATTTAGCACACAAACCTCCTCACGTCGTCCTCCACCTGCAACTCCACACTGTCGCCCTCCACCTCTTTGCGGGGGTCTCTTGTCAAAATTCTTGCTTTTCTGTGAATTGGTGCGGCGAGGGCCGGGGAAACTGTCAGCTTTGGGGAAAGAGGGCTCACGCTTACGGCTGTAGCGCTTGGAAGCCCCATTATTTTTACCATCTGAAAAATAAATAATGTAATGAATAAAGGGGAAAATCAACTGTTCCCAAACCTCTCCAAATAAACGTCAACCTCTCAAAATAAACGTCAACTCTAAAAGATGTGATAAAAAGCCCCCCGACTTGGAAATAAAACAAAAAATTTTAATATACAAAATTTAAAAAATGTTCGATAAGAAAGTTTATCTATTTGTCCGTCCAATAAACTGAACCATGACCAGTCTACAAATGTGCCACATAAATAAACATTCAAACACTACAACCAAACATGCTAAGACAACTGCTGCTAAAATGTTTAGGAAAATATTTTACAAGTTATCATTACTTTTTAATCATGTGATGAGTAAACAGTCTTTAAAAAAGGTTGGCTTGTTTATCCCTCACACTGGAAAAACTGCATTTGGATAATTTTTGACCTCCCATGAACTGATAAAACAACTCGGCAACCACTCATTTGATAAGAGCTTTTATAGTCCTGAGTAATAACGTGTTATCTACAGTTCAGCTGCTCTTCTGACTTTAGGTGGGTCAGTTGTTTTGACAGCGACGTCAACCTCCCCAGCCCAGATAAACACCTCGAGTAGCTGCTGCTGGGCCCAACGGGCCACGGAGGACTTAGCTACACACAGGCTAACAGCTCCAAGTGAAATTGATGTTGCAAATAAGACCTTTCACCTGTTTTCGGTTTAGATTCGCCCGGTGGCGGGCCTGTGGAGCTTGAACGAGGCGGAACCTTGGAGCTGGTGCTGCTGTTGGGGTTTTTCTCCATGTTTGTCTCCGTGCGGTGAGCGCTGTTTAGGCCGAGCTGCGGGCAGAGAGCCGCCGAGCTCTCTAGCATCAAAAACAAAAACAGAAGAGGACAACGGACTGCGATGAGTACGGGTCAGGCGGCGAAGGCCCAGATTCATTTCTGTCAAACGCGGAGACCCCATCACGGCGACATTTTGACGATAAACAAACTCGAGAAAAAAAAGAAGAGACACGGTTTTAGCGTCTCGTTATAAGCTTGAAGGAGAGGACGAAAGCTCGCCGCGCGGGACCAAATCCCTCGAATTAAATATTTTTACTTGCTAAGGGAAACAGTGTGCCCTTAACAAGGCGCTAAATGTTTTCCAACGTCTGGAAAACAAATTAACCTGTATATTTTAGCTAAAATATGTCCGGAGAAATCGAGCATGCACGAATGGCGAATGGTCGCCAGACAAGAACCCGAGAGACCCGGATGTTTCATGTACTGCCAAGCTAGCTATTGGGTCCGCATCATTGTGACGCCAGCGCAGCTGGAAGGGAGCGGTGTACGTAAACGCTGATGATTTATGTCAATGCCGGTGTAGGCATTTATATGTGGTCCTAAGTAATTTTTTCCGTTGGATGATTTTGACCATTTTGACAGCCATTTTCGTTTTGCACACACGCATACTTCTGTCAGCCATAAATGACAGCACAGGTTGCAGTTTTGCTGTAGCTTCCGCCTACACAAAAAACCCAGCCAGGTACCTGTTATACAGAAAAGAGTAGACCCACAAAAGAGATCCAGCAAATGTTGGAAGTAACCGTCAAATCAACTTTTTTTGCTGATAACTGTTAAGATAATTATATCATATAATTTATATGCGTTTTATTTTATCATGCTTTATGCCTGACTATAACCTAATTAATGAGTGTCTAATTGTGCTATAGACAGGTGTAGTCCTAGAAGCGCTGAAGATAGCCGCCAGTTCCATTTAAAGCGCCGCAATACTTTGCAACATTGTGGAGTACTTAAGACATTACGACCTAGGGTGCTCCCAGAAAATTTTGATTGGGGTGGCCAGATGGGGCCAAAGAACATTTTGGGGTGACACACCAAATTGGTCCTTGTGGGTAACTCTAGGAGAGTTTAGCTTGTAGCAATATATTGCATTGCTCCTTTATTCGTTTTTATTAATTCATTAACTATCATTGACGACTAAAGTTGTCATTTGCATTTTTTTACTGTGTGGCTGTGATGTGACTATCGTGCGACTTTCCAAGAATCGCTCAGCAGCATGTCCTGTGTGACCATTTGACTACTCAAAACCGTGACGCATCTGTCTCCAGTGCGCTCCAGGCTTAAGGCTCTGGTGGGGGGGTGAGTTGCTCTTTAATAAAATTCATCTTTAAAGAGTTCAAACAAAACAAAGCAACTCAGGGGAAAACAGAACTTTACTTTATAAGCAAACCACAGCGCACAGCAAAACACCATATTAAAAATAAACCAATCTATCTACCCTAAGTACTATCAACACAACAGAAAATGCATATCTCGTTACTAGTAATATTAGATTTTCTTAAATTTGCTACGTCATTGCACCATCACACTGAACTTTGACTCAGTGTCATCAACTACTAGATCATAAAGATTGATACAGCTTTAAGCAGTGACACATTTTTTTTCATTGCAACATTTATTACTTAAAAATAAATGACCTAAAACAGAATTAGTTACAACCGTGTTTAATTCAAACCAATAAGAAGAAATTAAGTCTGGTGAAACAAAGACTGGACAAAAACAAAATGAAAACAAGACTAAAAATGCAATGTGTTCAAATACAACGAGTGACTTTGTCAAATGGAGTAGTTAGGCCTGTTTCCTACACTTTTTCATAACGTCCACAAGGCACAACTGACTGTTATTTAGTCTGCATATTATTTATAGAATAAATTATGTTTCCAAAATAAAGTGAAAATGCTGAGGAAAAAAGCCCATACTCCATTAGAAAAATAAAAATAGGCTGTTTCAAGAAATGCCCAAGGAACTGGACCCCTTTGTGTTCATAAGGCTAATTATATTCATGGATTCATTTTTCTGGGATTTTTTTAGTAAGCTATAAAAACAAGTTTTATTGAACATTTATTTTTTTCTTTAGCGTCGGCCACAGCACTTCCTTCAATCCTTCACAATAAGACTGTAAAATGTAGCAACTTACCCCTAATTATCTGAAGATTATAACTATTGTTTATCAATACTGTCCTCCAGTAAAACTTAAACCTGGTAATAATATTTAAATATTTTTCTTGCTATTTCAATGTCAACCTTGACACATTCTCCTTGCTTTTTGCAGTGGGCCCAATACGCTGCCAGATAACTCATTAAACATCTGCTATGTGATTTTCAGTAGATATGTCAAATGTTTAATATAACATGTTAATTTAGTAAACCAAATTTCTATAATCTAGATCAAAATGTGGACATTATGCACTGTCTAACTGGAAAGCCACCTAGAATAAAAATGTTTCCATGATTTCTCACAAATGTCCTCATGCAGGCATCTGAGCAAAGCTTGAACATGGCAGCCATCATACTGTAAGGTCACTCTCCTTCATCCTCTTCACACTCTATGTCATCTTCACATGCTTCCTTGTTTCCACCTGGTATAAAACAGCCCAGAATTGCTTGGCGAATCTGTTGTTTTTCTCCTGTGAATAAAACCCACAGAAATCCAATTTAACCCACACTCCAAAAGATTAAAAGAGTTACACTTGTCAGATTTTGGCATGGTTGGATCATGTCGCTTTCAGTTAAAACCCTCACCTTCATTTTTACATTTAGGGAGCATCCGATGGAGTTGCTGGGTGTTGTATCGAATCAAAAACTTCTGGCATGTTCTAATTGTCCCTGGAAAAAAAATGAAATATGTGAACACGTTGACTGATATAGATCTGATTTATTAGACTGACTTTTGGATTTTTCCTCTTACCTCCCACATGCAAACAATTTAAAAAACATGGGATCTTTTGCCCTCGACTGTTGATATGGGTGATGAAAGGCAAAGCAGACCAGAGGAGTTTGTAGCAGCTCTTAGGAAAACGTAGAAATACTATTCCAGTATGAGCGTTGAGATATTTAACTGAAAAATAAAATAAAACAAGTCAAAGTTAAAACCACATGATCAGGAAAAAACAATCACAAAACGAAGTAAATGGCCTATTTTTGTATAGCGCCATCTTATGGTTCTACAACCCCCCAAGGCACTTCACAATACAATCAGTCATCCACCCATTCACACACACATTCACACGTGTGACTGAGAGACTACTACTATTATTTATATTATCAATATTATATATTTACACCTTGATACTGATATTTTACTTTAGTTGTGATCACTGTTTTTTTATGTAGCGTACCAAATGGCCAAGGATTTTACCAAAATGACCCGAAGGTAACTTTTAACTTACAGGACCAACTTCTTCATACAGGCCAATCTGACACCGTGGCACCGATATGAAATCTATGAACTTGCCCCAATATTCTTAACTAATCCTGCATACATCACGAGTCCTCAAGGCTGCAAGAAGCAGGACTTCTTATCTATCCTCCTTGAATAAAGCTCGTCTTCCCTGGCTCACATAACTCCAAATCTTCATATAATCATATTTTGTTGAATGAACAATTTGTTTTAATCCAAAGTGTTTTAATGTGTCCTATACTTTACATTAATGAATAATGGGTTAAAATGATTATTTTTCATGTGATGATTCATTTCAGATCTTAAATTACACCAGATCAGTAATTATTGATTTTAATCATTTAATTTACCAGTATGAACCCAGTAATGCAACCATATTATCGGAAATGGTTAAAACATTTTTACTTCACACTGAGAATAACCTCTAAGTATCTGAGTGAAGGAGTGATTTCATGAGGTATTTTCGGTAACGCCTTTAAAACGTGTCAAATTCTGATTTGACTAAATTTGTCACTTCCTGAACTGCCAGTTCTCCACCGCCACCTGGCTTGACTGACCAAGCAAAGCACTTGGGACCATCCTCTCTTTTGACTCCAACTCAAAGCCTCTCTGCAACGCTTGCGAGTGGTATCAGATGCAAATTAGATACGCCAGCTTCCTGCCGTCACCTGGAAGGTACCCCAGAGCAGACGGGTCATACTCGGAGCTGAACTACAGATTTCGTTACTCAGAGGTCCACGCTACCGGCAGTTTGTCCATACAGACCTCTTGACCCCCTGGATCTCACGAGGGCCTTCAACACAAAGGATTCGTAGATTTTCACACTGGTGTCGGATGGTTTTATGAATAATCAATAGCTTGTCAAACCATACAGTCAAACTGATTTTACAACCCAGACATCACAATATCTCTCAGATACTTAATAAGGTTTTGCTACATAAACATCTAGCTCACATTCCATCATTTCATTCATACTTTGTCATGTATAATCATTAGTTTAGAAAGACAGCATTAAATTCATTTTTTAAACTATGTACTTGACTCTGTCTGAACTTATATTAAGTGTGTTTCCTTAATAGTCCAAAGAACCCAAGGTAAAGTTGAATCAAATATTCAAAGACCAATCAGATTAATAATCCCTGTTTATATGGAATATCACATTTTATTGACCATTTAACAAAACTGTTACTAATCCATCACGCTACACTTATATTATTATATATCAAACTCTTATAGGGTACCTCTCTTTACCAATGCAATGCACTTTAGGCAACAATGAATAAAGGTATCTGAATTGCTCTTAATATTTTCTTTCTTACACAGAACTGTAAACTAGGAATGTCCCGTTCTGATTTCGATATTGGAAGTAATTTGAAATTGGCCCAAAAACAAGGAATCGGGTTATATCGGAATGCATCAAAAATCTCCGATATAAGCAGTCCGTTAAGGTTTACATTTTTGCAACCAATGGTTAAAAAATAATTTTCAGTTTTTCATACTCACTGTTATTGGCTCTTGTTCTCCAATTGAGTAATATCACTTGATCAAGCCTTCATCCATTCCACACTACAAAATATGTAAAGGTATGTATGATTTGTGCTGATATCATATCGGATAAATATCGGTATTGGATAATACTGAAGGCTGCAATATTGGTATCGTATCAGAAGTGAAAAAGTTGTATCAGGACAACCCTAGTGTAAACATTATACAATAATAATATAGTTATAGTTCAATACTGGCATTTAACTCCAGTTTTGTTTATGTTGCACTGGATTATGGTCAAATATTGAATTGATTTTAAAATTCTTATTTTTGTTTTTAAGGAACTGCATGGGGGGGCTCATTTTAGTCTGAACTGTTACAGGTGTATGAACCTTCTGGCGCTCTCCGTTCCTCTACGCTACATCTGTTGGTTACTCCACCAACAAATAGAAAATGGAGTTTGGAGTTGTAGGTCTGAGACTCTGGAACACTCTGCCACTGTCGGGCACCTATGGTCAAGACATTTAAAAGTAGGCTGAAAACTGATTTTTACTCAATTGTCTGCACATTAAACCAGCCTGCTTAGCTGGTGGTAAGTTTTTATTTCTCTGTTCAGATGATTTTCAGCCTCATTGATGAAGATACATAATAAAGGGGTTAAAACACCAACAGATCAGAAAAGGACTGAAAATTATTTATCTAGGAGTGACGATCATTAGTGTCACCTAATAACAGGACAACTAAATAAATATTATTTTCATGCAGTGTTCGACCGCGGTGAAGTTAGCTTGAAGTTGGAGTGGACGTTGGATATTCAACAGACATTGGTTCCCACAGTCAGCGATAAATCTTCATGCCATGCGCTCCGCCACAGACGGCAGTTAGCCGAGTTCCGACGACTCGCCAATGGGAACGGTGGTTCGCTTGGGGACTATCAACAAACTTGTAGTCCTTTGTAAACGAGTAAAAAAAGAATCAAAAGCTTCCAGAATAATTGTCTAAATGACTCAAAATTACTTCTGAGTTGTGTTACTAAACTACAATTACAAGACACAACAGTTTTAACACAATTCAGACAATCTGATCTTTATTTATTATAATTTTTATCCAAAATAAGATATTTTTCAATAGCTCCTAGGTAAATCAGTCTGAATACCTAAAACCATTTCTCAATGGTGTTACTTAGCCAGACCAATAAGACACAGCCGTTTGTTTTCACATTTTTCAAGATGTGATCTTTTTTATTAGGACTTTTATAAAAAAAATCAGTGATTTCTTCTACTAGCTCCTAGGTTAATTGATTTTAATACTCAAAATCATTTCTCAGTGATTTTACTATGCAAGACCAATGAGACACAGCAGTTTTTAATCATATTTCACAAGATTTTATCTCTTTTATTAAGATTTTCATCACAAATACAGTGATTTATTTCAATAGCTCTTAGGTGAATTGATTTTAAACCATTCTTCAATGGTGTTGCTAAGCCAGACCAATGAGACACAGCAACTTTTAACACCTTTCAAACAATCTGATCTGTTTTATTACAATTTTTATCAAAAATTAAGTGTTTTTTTTTTCAATAGCTCCTAGGTTAATTTGTCAAAATATCCTAAACCATTTGTCAATTATGTTACTAAGCTAGACCAATAAGACACAGCAGTTTTTAACACCTATCATACAATTTGATCATTTTAATTTGGATTTTTATAAAAAAAAGGGATTTTTTTTTCATTAAGCTCCTAGGTAAATTAGCCTAAATACCCAAAACCTTTTCTCAATGGTGTTACTAAGCTAGATCAATGAGACGCAGCAGTTTTTAATCAAATTTTGCAAGATCTGATCATTTTTATTAGGATTTTTATTAAAAACTAAAGTGATTTATTTCACTAGGATAAACATTTTAATAAAAAAAAGATCAGATTTTGTGACATGTTATAAAAACTGTTGTGTCTTGTAAATGTAGTTTAGTAACACAACTCAGAAGTAATTTTGAGTCATTTAGGCAATTATTCTGGAAGCTTTTGATTTTTTTTTTTTTTTTTTTTTTTTTTTTTGTGTACTCGTTCACAAAAGACTACAATTTTGTTGATGGTCCCTAAGCGAACCACCGTTCCCATTAGCGAGTCTTTGGAACTCAGCTCACCGCCGTTTGTGGCACAGCGCACGGCTTGACCGTGGAAACCAATGTCTGTCGAATATCCAACGTCCAACATCAAGCTAACTTTACCGTGGTGCAGGTTCGGGTACTTTTTTAATGAAACATGTCTTATTTTCTATAATAGTAATATGTTCGTGGCAAACTGTTACAGATAATCAAATGTTTTAACTCATTTTTATGTGCGTGTTTTACGCTAGAAAATTGGTTTACGACAAACTACCTTGGAACCGGATGCTGCACAGAGCTGCTCCGTAGTCCCCGTGTATGCGGGCCACCGCTGCCTTCACAGCCGCTGCTACTGCTTGGTCGTTCAGCAGAAACAGGTCGTTCATGTCCGACACATTAACCTCGCACAGCAAATACCTAGCGAAAGAAAGAATATGCGCTAACTCAACGATGGCCACAGTAAGAGAATAAGTAAGAGACTCACAAAAAACACGTTTTACCTTGACTTGAGGCGCACCATTGCTGCCACTCATTCCGTCAACAAACCTCTTCTACGGATTTTTAGATCGAGCTCAATTGCGTTGGCGCCACCCAGTGGACATTAACATATTGCAAGGTGCATTCGGTTTAAACACGGGGTAGCCCGAATTGAGCAGTTCGCGATTCACAATCACAGCTGTTTTTATCTTCACACTATGATGAAACCTTGACAGTTGACTCTACTTCACTAAAAAATAGGATAGCATAAAACGTGATTCAATCAGATGTATTAGCAGGCTTTAAATTTAAAATCAACACAAACTTCTTGGTTAAATTTCAAACGGAAAGCCTCGAACTTTAAACTAAGCGCACCCTTCAGTAACCATGACAACCCCAATCGTTCTCATCCAATCACAAGCTCAAGTTCCCATCTTTCATACACTTTGACGCCATCTTGAAATCTCATCCACAGTTTGTTAATTTGGTGTTCATAATAAAACCTGAAGTGTGTGTTTATTTTTACTGTTTGAAGTATGAACGGTTCTCGGAACAAACAGTCAGCGGCAGTCGGCAAAGGGCAGACGGATGCAGACAGTGGCCTAGAGACGAACCATAGGGACAAAAAGACCGGCGCAGGAATGCTGAGGAAGCTGAAGTCGAGGCGCAGTCATACAGAGAAGTGGCCTGTGGTAACGGAGGACCAGCTCCGGACTCTAGGAAGAGATATTTCCCCGGAGCATGTTCTGGGTTTGCGGGACGTCACAAAAGGTATCCTGTCTGCTGACTAAGTGTTCACCGGAGATGATAAAGCCACAGCGTTACGTGAGCTACAAACAAGCTAACTGTGGCTAAGTGAACGAAACTCAAGTATTTACAAGTCCGCTGTAAATTCTAATCAAAATTTAACTAAGCTACTCTAGTTTATGCTATAAAGAAAAACAATTAATTAAGAGTTTTGAGCCCGGACAGAATTTTACTTTATACTCAACAAGCAAATAAGCTATCATGAGACTTGAATCCGTTAGTCTTTGCTTTAGAACGATTAGTAACATCTCTCTCTCACACACACACACACACACACACACACACACACACACACACACACACACACACACACACACACACACACACACACACACACACACGATGCATAATTAAATGTTTTCTAAATTTAGTCCAAAGACACCATAGTGTGTTATGACATCACATATATGGGGTAAAAAAAAATTACATGTTTTTCATTGTAAATCTTAGACGATCGAACTGCAGTAGTTTTTGAAAACTATTTGATTTTCACTAAAAGCGAATAATGCTTGCAGAATCTCACACAAAGTGTTTTCATTTCTAGAACAGTCTTTGTTATTTTTGTTCATTTCTGTTCTTTAAAACAATTATTGTTGGTTGTATTGCTATCAGACTTTGGGAAGGAGTTAGAATTAAAAGCATTGCTGTGATATATTTTATAGGCTTCAACTTTGAACTTAACATTTTATCACAATGATTAAATGTGTCAGTATTTTGCTACATGAAAATGCTACAGATGTGTCGGTTTTGTCCAAAGAGCTCTACAACTTTTTAAAGACAAAAATAATCCAGTTCGTTTGTTACAGATTTAATCCACTATTAGAGCATGTGAAGTTTAGAGCAGATGACTGTATTCTTAAAATTCCATGACTGAACACAAGTAACACTAAATCTGTCATCAGACACCCTCTCCGCCACATTCCCGGCCACTGCCTTGTGTCTGGGGACATTTCCTCAACCAGACAACAATGGCTAATTTAGTGTTTATAATAAGCCTCACTAGTCCCTTTGTTTTTACTTAACATGTTTAAAAGCTGTGAGCCTTCTAAATAACTTTTGAAAGGAGTGGAAGCTGAAAAACAGAAAGTATAGATCTGGTTGCTTGAAGTTCCCTATTAGTATTTTATGTGAATTATTGTGTAGAAACATTCTAAAAGTTTTAATTCAAGCATTTTTTTTTACAGACTATCTTTGCAGACTTGAAGATAATATCTACAACATCGACTTTACTCGTTTCAAAATCAGAGATCTTGAGACTGGAACGGTGCTTTTTGAGATTGCCAAACCTCCAAACAGTGGTGAGTGTGAAAATAAAATGATCTACAGAGAAATAAAGCTTTAATGTTGCAAAGTTAAAAGAATGAAAAGCAGCTTTACATGGAACTATTTTTGCACAGCAATGTGAGAATTGTATTAGGTTAATCAGAGGACGATTCCTTAAAGCTGCTTCAGGTGTGGGTCCATCATAATTATATTTCAATTCCATTTTTGGCTTCAAACAATCACAAAAACAAGGATTAAAATGATTATCGGCCGGCCCATATATCAGCTTGATATATTCAATTTTTTTCTATATCAGCCGAAATTAATTTTAAAAGCAGATGAAAAAAAAACTGGCACCTGTGTGGCCAACTGCCGTCACTACTAGACTGAAGAAAGAACCCGAAGGACCCCAAAACACTATTTTTTAATGTTGTGAGTTAGTTTTATATTTGAAGCTCAATAAATATTAAGATATTTATTGACTTATTTAATTTATATTGCACACAGTTAGTTTTCAGATGTCTTTCACTATCATATATACATAAATATATATATATATATATATATATATATATATATATATATATATATATATATATATCGGACTAATAATCAACTTAAGATATCGGCCATCGGCAACAAAATTCATTAAAAATCGGTATCAGCATCGGCCTTTAAAAAAAACGTATTAGATGGCCTCTACATTCACACCCCTATGGAGGCTGAAGTCACATGCATTTTGGGAATGGTGGCAGAACAAAAGTAAAACACATTGGAGGTGTTCATAAAATAATATGCCCTCTTTATTTCCACTTACGCCCTCCGCATGATCAGTGTTTTTCTGATTGGTGCTCCTGATAATACATCTATATGCTCTCTGTCTTCCTGTTTAAACATCCGGGCTCCTGTAGCAGCTCTTCTCCACTTTTGTAGCAGTGCTTTCCAGCCATGCTTGCGTTATGCTGATATATCAAGTAGGAAATTAAATTTAATTTGTTGGTGTCTACTCATGTTACAAATTATTCATTTGATAAATAAGTCCAAACATTTCTATGATTGGCTATAGTCCTACTAGTTTGATAAAAGTATCATGAGTTTTAATCACCATTAAATAGCACAACTCTGCCACCTGCTGGCTAGAATCAGTCCCTTCAGTCATCAAACACCATATTTGAGCTTTAAAAACATTGTTCTTTTAACCCTCCCACTGTCCTAATGGGTGTGACCCCGCGAGGAAAGGTGACCATTGAGTAGGGTTGATGGTTTATCCCTTGGGTCCATGTGGCAGGGGTGAGGAGTGAGCACCACCTCACCCCTGCCACATGGACCTGGCAGCCAGTAAAGCTGGAATAAAATGGTGTACCTTTACCATTTTCTTCATGTTGTGGTTATGCTAATTCAGCGTAGTTCTAGTCATACATCAAAGCAAAGCAGGTAGTTTCATCACAGCCACTTTAAAAAAAAGCAGGATGATGAGATGTTTGATCATTGAGCAAATTAAAAAAACAAGAATTATAGCATCTTATACAGTGCCATTATGTAATGAGGTCCTGAGCTATGATGTGAGGATTGCTCCCAGCTGATTTTGTTATCGTTTCAGGTCATTTGGAAAAAGAAGAGGAGAGTGGAGATGTCGATGCCAGTGCAGGACGTTTTGTCAGGTACCAGTTCACACCAGCCTTCCTAAAACTACGCACTGTTGGTGCAACGTGAGTACATGACCTCTTCATAGTGAGCTCACCGCTCTCCCCACCAGTCTGTTTGACAACATGTTCTCTGCTGTGCGACCTCTCCAACTGCAGCGTTGAGTTCACCGTGGGTGACCGTCCCATTAACAGCTTTCGTATGATTGAGCGGCACTACTTCCAGGGACGGCTTCTTAAGAATTTTGATTTTGACTTTGGCTTCTGCATACCCAACAGCCGCAACACATGCGAACACATTTATGAGTTTCCACAGCTTCCAGATGGCCTCAGTGAGTTGTAATTTCACCAGAACGTCTGGATCACAGTTACGCATTCTAAACATCTCTTTGTTTAACTTTCTTCTGTTCCAGTTCGCCAAATGGTGGAGCATCCATACGAGACCAGATCAGATAGTTTCTACTTTGTGGACAACAAACTCATTATGCACAACAAGGCGGACTATGGCTACAATGGTGGGCTGTAACGTCTGAGAGGAGAGATGGGTCCATTACCTCCCAGTGGTGGTGATGGTGGGGGTGGGGGGGGGGTGTAACAGAAGTGTTTTCTCCTTTTTAGAAACATGACAGCAAAATGAAAAACAGCAAACCACCTCTGCTGACATATTAAATCATGGATCCATTCAATAGTACCTCAAATCACTGCTTCAGAGAATCTGAGGGATTTTGTTTTCGTCGTTTCTTAGAATTTCTGTTACATCTGACTAAGTTTTTTTTTTCATGTACATACCAGTTTGTCAAAAAGTTTCATGTTACTGCTCGAACACGTTTGCCTTACGTTTATGCCATCCGTGCTGGATGAGGACAACACTTAGGACCAGACTGAGCTAGTTAGAATATCTTTTAAATAAATTCAGATTCTCATTGTATGTTTATTTGAGCAAATTTATCAAGGGGTGTTTCTTGTGTGGGAAAGCAAGCTCACAAGTTTATTTTTCTCCGTTATTGTAAATAGTAGAATAAAATGTAGCACAAGTCAACGTTGTATTTGACTTTTGAATCGTGTAGGTGGGAATCATTGAGACCTTTTGTCAGATATGACCCATTTTTAATAAGTTGGTCAAGCGCTACTTTGTGTTTGCATCTCTGGGATAAATGAAGAAAACAGAATAGAAGTATCTGTGATCACTTGTACCTCTAGATCCTAATGCCATCTTTGTCTAAAACCATTTGTTTATTCACCTCATTGTGGTTACACTCTTACCCAATCCCTTAAAGTGTGGTTGTTTTGGTTTATTCGGCAGCGTAATACTATTCATTTTCCATTTTGAGGCTGAATTTGACCAAATATGGTTTTGGATCTGTCCCAAGTCTGTGCTCTGATGCTGCGTTATCAGATTACTAATGAAATACCACAGGAGCATACAACTAAACCACCCAGGGAGTTCATCAGTTTATCTATTTTTGAAGACACTACAGGCTGATACAACATCTGAGTCTCTTCTCTTCACAGGAACATGTACAGTTAGCAAGTTTTAACCCATTTTCATCAAATATCTACAACTGTGGAACTCATTTCTGATGCTACTTTGCACGCCAGCCCTATGATTGGTCTTGGACTGATTGAGCTTATACTTTATAGAAAACCTTATATTGATTTGATTGGCTGATAATTTATTGTGATGCTGTTTAGTTGTTTTCCATTTCCAGGGTGGCAACCCTGATAAGTGAGGAGGCCTATGAGTAGGTGAAAACAATTAATGTCAAATTTATAGCTGCAAATCAGAAAAGTGCCTTGATTGCTGGTGTTATTTTTTATGTTGGGAAAGTTAATGTTTGTTGACCAATGAGAAAACATGGCCACAAGCAATTGCAAAAGTGGTTTAACTCCTCTTTTTACCACCTCTGTTAAATATTTCATCTTATACTGGTGCCTTGAATACAGTAGGAAGCAGTTCTGACATTTCATGTAATAATCGTGGACATTAGAAGACTAACTTTTACAAATTGATTAGTAACTCAACATTTAGTAGGCCATTATTAACCTGAACAGATGGGATATCAGTCACACTTTACTTAATAGGTCCTTATAAATGTTGGATTTAGTGGATGAATGTAAGACAGCTGCTGGCTGTTCAACATGTGAGTAGTAGTTTACTGAAATGCCTTGAGATTTGTACACAATTCTAAAATCTGCACTAAAAGACCATGTGATGGACTCAAACATCTACTTTTACTGTTACATGTTGCATGTTGTATACTTTTTATATTGCTGGACTTTACAAGTGACGCTATTATGTGTTAGCAGAATTCTTATGAATAAAAATGGCTAAACATGTTTTTTATTTAATTTTATATTCTCTTGAAAATGAAGTTTGAAGTTGCATGTAGATAAAGCTTAATTCAGCTGTACACAGGCAGAGAATAGTTTGTTTTGTTGCAACATTTTGTTTTACAAAGTTTTTTGTTTGAGTAAAAGCGGCTAAAATGAGTAGTGTTATTTGGTACTAAAAGACTACATCACCCAGAATCCTTAGCTGGACGCAAACAACAGCACGTAGGCCAATATGGCGGCCCACGTTAGAGAGATGGTTTCTGAGGAGTCAAGTAGCGACGACGAAGAGCTTAGAAAGTGTCGAGAGGCAGTTTGGGACACTCAGACAAACAAAACAAAAGGTAAGTGTTTATTTTTATAATTTTTTTTGTCTCAGGGTAAGTAGTTAATACTGATAAGCGTTTTAGTTAGACGAGAATACCACTTGTAGTAGTGAATTGTAGTAGTTGTTTAAGACTTGTGTAAATGAGGCATCTTTCTGAAGCAAAGGCTGACAACGATTTTATTTTATTTTTCCAGATGGAGACCGCAAAGTGAAAGACTCAAAGCGGTGAGTCGGTATTATAATGCGAATCACTACTACTACTAAACTATTTGTATAGCGACTTCACATGGCCCAAGGACCAAACAAAGCGCTGCACAGCAGAAATTAATATAAAAAATAAAAACATAAAACCATTTAAAAACCAACAAAAACATGTAGATAAAATCTAGGTGGGGCAGCAAAGAAGTGCGCGTTAGCTTAACATGCTAAATCAGTGTGTTGCCTGTATTTAATTTTATTTAGGTGGCAGCGAGTTACAAAATAGCGGAGAACGCATCTAAATCTGCGCTGTATTTTACTGAAGAAAAATAAATATTTTGTAAGCTTCAGATGTTGCGAGGCTGCCACCACCACGATTTGAGCTCGGCCCTGCTGATTAAATGAAGATCTGCTGCTGCTAAATGACTGCTCCGTATTTTAGCGTCTACAGAGTGAAAAACACACCAAAGCTAGAATCTTCGGTCAAAACAAACCTTAATCAGTATTAATACAGAATAGATCAAAACCATATTATGTCGATGATCAAAACACACTCACTGTGTTCATTCATACACGTGTGCATGCATATCTTTTGACTAATCTGTCATCACTTCCTATTTTTTTCTCCTTGTGGCACAAATATGCAGGTGTACTTTTGAACAATAACATAAAGCTTAAAGGACCCAGATCATGCTATTTTAAACACGTGAGAGCAAAGGTAGGCACAATAGCGCTATTGAGATGCAATTTCATCTTAGATGCGAGTTATTTTCATCAGCCAGAGTTTGCTCCTGGAAATGAACCACTCTGAAGCTCTGCCTGTGTCCACTTCAACTACAACAGCATCTTAGTAAGTTTATTTTTATAGCACTTTCACTGACAAGTCACAAAGTGCATCACGGACAACAGTATCTTAAGGCTTTTCCTTAAAATCTTAAAACTTGCAGCTGAGACAGGAAAATGCATAAACGCTGCCAAAAAAAAGGGGTTGGGGGTATTTTTCATGAGGAATTAACTGTCACAAAGTAAAAAGCTCCAAAATGTGGATTTTCCATGATATGGTCTCTTTACTGTTTTTTTTTTTTTTTTGTCCTGTAACAGTATTGTTGTCGCTGCTCATGAACATGATGGCAACGAGCTCCAGGTCACCAAAGGATTTCAAACACATGTGGCTAAAAAGCTGGAACATTTTCTTGACAGGTAACTTGATAGGAAAATATGGTACTGATATTGGGAAATTTGATTTTAATCAGTGTTGTGTGATTTACAGTTGCATTTCAGAAATGAAGCCTAAAACCTTAAATTGTTTGGAAACTACAAACAGTGATGACATTGGTGATGGTAACGTTTCAGCATTTTAAGCAGATTTTGTTTTTACCCTTTAAAAATATATTTTTTAACTTATTTATTTATTTATTTATTTATTTTCATTTAGGTTTTCATCTGTTTTCTACATCCATCCCTGGACAGAAAGCTGATAATCCTCCCGAACCAGTGAGGCGTCGGCCTGTTCCCAGCTCAAGGTTTTTCACTTTTTTATCTATTTATTTTTGAAAGATTTAATTATCAGTTTGACTTCTGTGTAACATTTCTCTGCCTCTTACAGTGACAGCGACAGTGAAATGGAAACAAGGCTGAAGGAGGCAGTGGTGTCAGTGAAAGATCTGTTGCCTTCATCATCATTTACCTCCACTGCATCCTCTTCATCATCAGAGCCTCACAACTCAGAAAAAACACATAGAAAGAAGAAAGTTGCAAAGGAAGAAGCGAGTCATGTTGTCAGGAAAAAGAAAAAGAGGAAACAAAATGATGGAGAGAGTGAGCAAGTGGACTCTGGTGAAGATGCTCATGATGAAAGCAGCAGTGAGCACAGGAACCTGGAGCAGGAACACATGAAAATAAAACAAAACAAAAAATAAACACAAACAAAGAAACTTTGAGCTGAGATTTGACAGTAAACATTTTTGTGGGTTTTTGTTTGTGTGTTGAAGTGAGTTTTGGGATTAAAATGGCTTCAGAATAAAGAAGGGACTCATTTTGCTCGTTTCAAAAACTTAATTCTCATGAAAACTTAAAAAAAGCATTTTGGTTGCAAATTTAAAAAGAATATAAATTGCAGTTATACCAGAAGTTACAAGTTTTTAATTTTACAGAATATTATTTTAATAAAAATAGATGCTGGTGTTGATCTTGTTAATCCTCTGCTGATTTCAGTAAGTCTCTTCTGTGACTACACTTGAATAAAGTTGAGACATCGTGATTATAGCCTTCTGTCTCCAGGTTTATCTGGAAAGGTACACCAGCTGTAGATGCCCGTCCCAAAACCCCATCAGGCTTTAGAGTCCAGCTGAAGGGCAGGAGACACGAAAGAGCCAGAGAAGGTTTTACTGTGCTGTGGAGACCATTTGTGAAGGCATGTAGGAGCTGATGTCTGTGGGTGAAGATGAGAGGAGGTGAGGCTGATGACGTTCTGTCTGGGAGGAAGGATACAGCTCCAGGCTCTCAGAAGCAGCTGGGAACAAAAGTTAGAAAATATGTTTATTTCAAGCTTTTGTCCAGAAAATGTTGCTGTTATAAGTATTATCACTGCAGCTAACTTGGCAGACATTTAAAAATCCATTTTGACAGAAGACCAAATGATTAAATATTCAACTAGTTTTATACACAGCAGTTAAGAGTAATTTGAAGATTTAGGATTAAAAGTTGAAACTATATGGAATTATCTTTAGTAAATAAATATTGGTAACATTTCTTTAAAGGTGCAATATGTATGAATATAATAAGAATTTTAAAGTGAGAAAATCCCAAAAGAGTAATGTTTCAGTCATTTTGGGAGGAAGGTTATGCTGAAACATTTCATATCCAGCTGGCTGTGGTGATTGTCCGCTTTTCTCCTTTCAAAGCAAAGGAAGGAGGGACGTAGCTACTGTTTACCATCAGTGAGCGTGGGGTTATGTCTCTGCGAGCTAAAGCCTGATTTATACTTCTCCGTGTGCGTCGGTGCCGAGACACGCAACGCCATTACACGCCATTGGCGCAAGGGCTCTTCGACGAGCTCACAGAGGGTAATGGAGACATGCCCAAAATTTTAAACATCCGTCGAAAGTGACGGAGACCGCAAGCTTGTGACTAGTCAGGACGCCGCTTCCTGTAAATTCATTACCAGCACCGCCTTTGCCTCATTAAAAAGTAAAAAGCTATCTGGCGGCAGACCCAGAACAGATTGAAGAACGCATCGCTGAAAAAGTCCGAAAACATGAACGTTTATTCACCCGTGACTGAAGGAGTACAAAAAACATGGATGGAAATGATGGGAAACGTGGGTTTAGAGGTGGCGGAGAACGAAGGACAAATTTGTCTGTGTTATAAAGTCTCTGAAATACATAAACACATTAGTAAATACACAATCGTGGACCAGATACACGAGTGTTCTGGTGGCAGGACCACAGAAAAGGGCAACGCCCTCTTGTTATCCTAGTGGGGAATTGTTTTGCAACACTCCGCTGCCTGCACATGTGGAATTCTTTCCAATACTCCATGTGGGTGTCTCCGTTGTGGAGCTCAGAGAAGTATAAACTACTGCAGCCGACAATTGTACTTTGACGACAGCCGGCGAAAAGCTCCACAATTATGTAAAGTGGTTGCAGTAATCAAATTTAACCACAGGATGACATTTTTTACTCCAGCTCTACATACAGGTGCTGAACACAACAATAAAAAGCAAGCACATTAAAAAATACAACAAAAGATAAAAAAAATTAAACAGATTAAAAACAACAATTAAAAACAAGACAAAGTTGTAGACCCCGTGGTGAAAGTTGTTTCTTATGTGTCAAAACAACAATGGTTTAAACCTTGAGTTTAGAAACTCTTTTCATTTATAGGCCAGACTTGTATGGCTTAGTAACAAAGACTTTCTCCGGGTACAAAAAATCAGCATAAATCTAAAGACAACCTTTGAAAAACCTGCAGGAATTTCGACCAAGGCCTTTTAAACAGATGACAAGAAAAGCACAAAGAAACAAGGCCTGGGACTCTGTAAACCTTTTTTCTGTTTGTGTAAAAAAGATAACTTATTTCTTCCATAACGCCCGATTTGTATCACTTTGGTTTGTAAGCTGTTAAAACGACCCTTTCATTTATTAAACATGTCCTCTAACGCTTGTCAACAATAAACCCAAACAATAGGTATCTCTTTAACAACGGGGTAGCTTAATGTCTAATATACAGGTGCTGGCCAGTAAATTAGAATATCATCAAAAGGTTGAAAATATTTCAGTAATTCCATTCAAAACGTGAAACTTGTACATTATATTCATGCAATGCACACAGACCAATGTATTTCCAATGTTCATTACATTTAAATTTGATATTCATAAGTGACAACTAATGAAAACTCCAAATTTGGTATCTCAAAAAATTAGAATATTCTGAAAAGGCTGAATATAGAAGACACCTGCTGCCACTCTAATCAGCTGATTTACTCAAAACACCTGCAAAGGCCTTTAAAAGGTCCCTCAGTCTTGTTTTGAAGGCACCACAATCATGGGGAAGACTTCTGACTTAACAGCTGTCCAAAAGACAATCATTGACACCTTGCACAAGGAGGGCAAGACACAAAAGGTGATTGCTAAAGAAGCTGGCTGTTCGCAGAGCTCTGTGTCCAAGCACATTAACAGACAGGCGAAGGGACGGAAAAAATGTGGTAGAAAAAAGTGTACAAGCTCTAGGGATAACCGCACCCTGCAGAGAATTGTGACGACAAACCCATTCAAAAATGTGGGGGAGATCCACAAAGAGTGGACTGCAGCTGGAGTCAGCGCTTCAAGAACCACCACGAGGAGACTCATGAAAGACATGGGATTCAGGTGTCGCATTCCGTGTGTCAAGCCACTCTTGAACAAGAAACAGCGCAAGAAGCGTCTCGCCTGGGCCAAGGACAAAAAGGACTGGACTGATGCTGAGTGGTCCAAAGTTATGTTTTCTGATGAAAGCAAGTTCTGCATTTCCTTTGGAAATCAAGGACCCAGAGTCTGGAGGAAGAGCGGAGAAGCACAGAATCCACGTTGCATGAGGTCCAGTGTAAAGTTTCCACCGTCAGTGATGGTGTGGGGTGCCATGTCATCTGCCGGTGTTGGCCCACTCTGTTTCCTGAGGTCCAGGGTCAATGCAGCCGTCTACCAGGAAGTTTTAGAGCACTTCATGCTTCCTGCTGCTGACCAACTTTATGGGGATGCAGACTTCACCTTTCAACAGGACTTGGCACCTGCACACAGTGCCAAAACCACCAGCACCTGGTTCAAGGACCATGGTATCCCTGTCCTTGATTGGCCAGCAAACTCGCCTGACCTTAACCCCATAGAAAATCTATGGGGTATTGTGAAGCGGAGGATGCAATACGCTAGACCCAACAATGCAGAGGAGCTGAAGACGACTATCAGAGCAACCTGGGCTCTCATAACACCTGAGCAGTGCCACAGACTGATCGAGTCCATGCCACGCCGCATTACTGCAGTTATTGAGGCAAAAGGAGCCCCGACTAAGTATTGAGTGCTATACATGCACATTCTTTTCATGTTCATTCTTTTCAGTTGGCCAACATTAGAGAAACAAACATTTTTTCATTGGCCTTTAGAATATTCTAATTTTCTGAGATACCAGATTTGATGTTTTCATTGGTTGTCACCTATAAATATCAAATTTAAATGTAATGAACATTGGAAATACATTGGTCTGTGTGCATTGCATGAATATAATGTACAAGTTTCACGTTTTGAATGGAATTACTGAAATATTTTCAACCTTTTGATGATATTCTAATTTACTGGCCAGCACCTGTAATGTTACTGAAGAAAATGTCAAACATTAAAATTAATCCCATCATAAAGAAACTTTTAACATTTAATCTAAAATGATGTTTAATTGCTTGTAATAACTATAAAAACAATTAATGAGTGAGTAACAACTCAGGTAATCAAAGTGCCTTTTAAAAAGGCTCAGTCCTTGATTTATGTTGGGGATCTGTTGGTAATGTCTGCAACACATTCAGCAGGCCTGTATTAAGTGTGTTTTACCTGGCACAGGTGTGTGTGGCTGCAAGTGTAAAGAATCCTCCTGTATAGGTGAGTCTGTGTCTTCATCTGGATCTGCTGTTAGGATCTGAACAAAACCAAATTGAGGAAGAAGATGTGAAGATTAGATTCCTGAGACTCTGAGAGAGCAACAAACCCATCAGAACCAGTACCTGTCTGACTGCAGCCAGACTGGTGAGTGTCCCCAGACTGCTGCTGTCAGCGATGAGCATGGCCTGAGACAGCAAACTGGATGAGTGGTACTGGGGTGAGTCCAGCTTGTTATACACTATGAGGAAGAACAGGCGCCTCAGTATTCAGCTCTTGTGTTAAACTGCTGTGATGTTGTTGAGGTCTTACTGTGACATGGCAGCTGTGCCATGGTCGCCATGAAGGGGCTCTGGAGCTGCTGAGGTATCTGCTGCTGGTGGGATGTGTGGAGCTGCTGCTGGAATGAGATCGGCTGGAGGGTGGTAAAACCACCTCCCATGTTGTTTATGACAGGAACGGTCTGAGGCTGCGTGGAAGCTAAACCTGTATGTGAAACATCAGACGTCACAGTAAAAACCAAACACTAGACATAACCTGAAAAATGAAGCATCTGTGTTACCGATGAGAAGAGAAGACTCCCCGAGACTCATGACGCTGGGCACTGAGGCCATGATGAGGCTTTGTGAGGAGGCAGGGGGGGCAGACAGACTGTGCAGAGAGGTCAGAGTGCTTACTGGGGGCAGTGGGCCACTGCTGGACACCTGTAATCAAAGAAAAAGCATGGTCATGATGGCATCTTTGATGGCTGACGAAGAATACAGGAGCACATCATCTCACCAGCTTAGGGTTATGGTTCTCAAGGAGTGTGTGGCTGGGTTCCAGTTGGACGGGACTGACCACAAGATGCCCCACTCGCTCCCCTGCGCTGCTTCTCACTGAGCTAGCTGGCTCACATAATATGTGCTGACTGTATTTCACACCTGGATAATAATGACAGGTCAGGTTTCAGAGCAAATACAACAATGATGGTTAACACACACATCAGAACCAGTATAGTCAAGTACTCTCTCCATAGAAAAGCTGTTTCAGCATGACACACAAGCTTTAAATTCTGAGAAAAGGTTTCCAAATGACCCCTGCTTTTAATTTGGTCGCCTTCTTCGTTTTTACTATAGATATAGATTTCTACTTTATAAATGTTTACATTTAACCTTTTCCTTTACAATCATCGCCTCATAGATGCGAGGGTTGCTGAGGTTTTACCATGTTCAGGACTTGGAGGAAGTGCGTGATTGGAGGAGGGAGCCGACTGGGTGGTGAAGGATGTGTCCAGGGCCAGCTTGTGGCGAAAGGCCTCCTCTTTACGGCGGTTGGCGAACCAGTTGTACACTCGGACCTCAGTAACCAGGTTGGAGCCCAGACCTGCTAGCTGGGAGGGAGATACCCCTCTCTGGAGACACTCGGCCCTGATTTGGATACAACATAAACTGATAAATGGCTTAATTTTGTGAAAAATGTTGAATTTAACAACAGTTATTTATAAAATATGTTCATTTCACATATAACATGTTTTCAGGAAAGATATAGATTAGATTAAAGTTCATCTCAACATGTGAGACTAGATCAATTTGAAGCACGTAGCATTTATAATTCAGGTATTATCTGGCCAATTTAACCCCACTGAGGTCTGATCTTTACTTGTTACACTCCTCCACCAGCCCTTCCCTTTCTTCCTTGCTGGGGTTCTTCTGTCGTTCATAGGCGTTAAAGAGGATCTGCAGGGACGCTGGACCCCACTTGAACCTGTTCCTGCGTCCTTTCTTAGTCTCCTCCCCTTGTTCTTCTGCAGGTGCTAGACCGTGCTTAGCATTGGTGAACTCTGGAGAGGAATGAAAGACGTTACCGTGACCAGTGTGTCTCCACAGCAAGAAGAGCATGCTCAACAAAAGCTTATGTACTCACGCTGGCTGATCTCACACTGCTTCTTGACGTACCAGCTATACAGGGCGGCTCTCTTTTGGTTCTTCATGGGTGTGCCTTTATTGAGGTGCTGGGAGAGGTGGGACTGGTTGAGTCCCGTGGACTCTACCACCTCTCTCTGAGGTAGGTTGTGCTGCTGCATGTAGCTTTTCACCATTTTTGCAACATGCCAGGGGTCTTCCCTGTTCAGCAGAGGTGAAGGAACTTAATACATTTACTACATATTTGATAATTTCCAAATCTCTGGCAGAAATGGACATAAACACAAAACTTTGAAAAGCTATCGCCACCTTAGAGATTTACTTAGCATTTTTATTAAAAAACCCTTTAAAGTCTCAGATCAGCAATCGTAGTTCAGTATGAGACAAAGGTACCCTGAGTAATTACAAAATGCAATTTTCATACGATTTCATTTATTAAAGGAAAAAGCTATCCAAACCAACAGAGCCTAAACTTACTCACTGATTTCAACACTATTGGTGGCAGTGACTGCGTCTTTCAGATCTCTGGAAAATGTTTGCCCCACTCTTCTTTGCTTTGCTTAAATTCAGTCAAATCGGAGGTTTTCCAGCCCAGACGACCTATTTAAGGTCAAAAGTTATACATATCCTTTAGGGTTTTCTGGTAGAGAGCAGATTTTATGGTTTCTCCCAATCTCCAAACTTCCATTTCTATCTAAAATCATGGAGAAAGCAGCTTATGCTCAGCTTTCACTTCAAATTGAGGATCTTCATTTCCTAGAAAAACTCTAATCTGGTTTCAGACCAAATCATAGTACTGCCAATATGCATGTTATTAAATACCATATATCCTGGTGTCCATGAAAAAAGGCTCTTGTGTTATGAAATTACTTCTTGGCCTGTCAGTGGCTTTTGATACAGTTGATAACAACATCTTGCTTGGAAGGCTTGAAGCGTGGGTGGGAGGTAAAGAAGCCCCTCCTAAATTATTCTGCTCCTGCATCCTATCTGACAGATAGATCCTTTAGCATTAACATTGATGACAGTTCCTCTCAATTTGTGCCGCTTCCCTGGGGAGTATCTCAAGGATTGATATTGGGACCACTTCATTTCTCAATCTACATCCTTCAGTTTGGAAAAATCCTGCCAAAAACATGGCATGAACTACCACTTATATGCTGACAATTGTCAGATTTATTTGGCTTTCAATTGGCCTTTCAGTACTCTTAAGCCTAGGGTACACATAAGACAAATGCGCTGTGCCACGGTTTTGGTAAGTCGCTACGCTGCTGAACGCTTCTCGGAAAATCGTACAATAGTCACAATATCCCGCGGAAATTGAGAACAGCAAGAGGAAAGTGACTCTTTTGTCTATATGTGATCAGACCTGCCGTTGTGTTTTGTGAGACTCTAATTCATTAACAATGGGTAAGTAAGCTATTTATTAGAATATTTTAAGATCAATAGTATTTTAAAGTTATCAATACTGTAATCAAGTAGCATTTATACGTTCTTTGTTTATGCTGTGGCGGTTGGGTTTGTGCTGTATAGCCTTGACGCGTCACAATGTCTTCTGTAAAGTACTCCACAATGTTGGAAACAGCCACGCCACGGCTCTTGAACTTGAACAGTCGCCTATCTTCAGCGCATCCGTGCAGACTAGCCTTTCTGGGACGTGGCATTGTGTTCCCTGTGTAGCCACTCTCAGTAACTTTAATGGCTTTTTTTAATGGCGTCGCTGCTGTGACGTGTTGCAGCACATCGGTCTTCTGTGTGCCCCGAGCTATACTCTCATGTCTCTCAGAGGTTAAAAATTGGCTTGCATCTGATTTTCTATGGCAACAAAAATATTCTTACAATTTTTTTCAACTCAAAAATATTTTTCTGTGTAACACTTCCTCTCCTCTCTCCTTCATCTTCAAACCCTGCTTGAATGGCCTGGGGCCTTCTCATTTGCCACCACTAAGCTTTGGATTGGGCTTCTTGTCCATGTGTGGCAGGCTCCATCTCTAGCCAGGTTCAAATTTTCTCTAAAGAGACATTTTTTCGTTGAGGCTGTGGTTGTTAACCCTTTTCTAATTGTATCTCATTCTTTTTTCTTCAACCTAATGTTTGCATGGGTTTTAGTCTGTTCTTTTGTCCTTTTATCATTATGGAGTCTTTGGACTTTTGGTCAGCTGTCATGCTGTTTTTAAAGGTGCTATATAAATAAAGCTGTTATGTTATGGTATGGTTTCATTAAGTCCAATGCTGCTCCAGAACATCACTCTACCACCACCGTGTTTGACTTTTTTTAAAATGCACTTTTACAGAATACTTTCTCAAACATTTTAGACCATCAAGGTTCTTTTTCAATATGAAATTGTCTATTGTATGATTTTTGATCAGCATAGTTTCTGGTTGAAGAAATATTCCAAAGAGATAATTGTGTCCTTTGCTTCTTTGCTACTGTTGAATCATGACCTCTGACCTTACCCTGAATCAAGTGAGGCCCGCCGTGTTTTAGAGGTTCTGATTACTTTTGTGGTTGACTTTCTTCAGAAGGAGGCATTGTGTTTTGTTTTTTGAGGTCTTTTAACATACGTCATGTTGTCAGACATATTTACAACAGGTCTTTTAGTAATTAAGTCTGGGTGTGACCGGTGGAATTGGACTCAGCTTTCCACATAATGTGGTAAATCACAGTTAATTCACAGGGTGGGTTGTAGCTGCTTTGATCATCTATTTCCAGTTGAAAATATTTATTACCTAGAGCTTACTAATACATACTTTTCTATTTTCTCTCTGTGTAAAATCTTGTGTGCGTAGCCATTTGCTGGACGAGAGAGATGTGTTCTTTTCCAACATATTTCAGGGTATTTCAGACAGCTACCAGTTTCTAGTGAAGTGTAGGCTGTGACAACATCAGAGTCAAAGTATGGTCACTCAGAGGGAAGTTTCAGAGGAGCTTGTTGACAGAGTGAGATAAGAGAGCGAGCACACAGGAGCAAAGTCCAGCTCTTTTAGATCACTGGAGAGGAAAAAACGTGTGAAAGGTTTATGGGGTCTAATATAGAGCTATCGCTCTCAGCCCAAAGCAATGAAAATGCACAATATTTCAAACCCCCCACATTTAAGGATTATTCTCATGATTTAATCACTTATAGTGTTTTTTTAATTAAACTGTCGGTATTGCAGGTTTGGTCATAAAAGAAATTTAAAGAAAAGCATGGAGAAGTTCCTAATCAGGTCTTGAAACTGAAGGCAGAAATGTTGGCTTAAGCGTTATGCAAACACAGTCACTCATGACCAGCCTCACTCCATTAATCTTCACCTACCTGTATGCATGTAGATTATTTATTAAGAAATGGCAAAGGGAATAATGATGAGGGTAGGTAATTAGTAACTAGCAAAGGAGGAACCCTCTTTAAATTCCCTCCAGAAGCCAGATTGCAGAGAGAGAAACAGAGAAGCAAGTGAAGGAGGGAGAGTTGGGGAAAGAAAAGAGACTCAGGATTAGCGGTGTAGAGAAAAAAACTGCTGCTTCAGTCCTCAAAGGTTTCTTTTGAGGAAGACAAGGAAAAGAATGGTTGAAGATCTCGATTTTTATATATGACTCAGGTCCTGCTGAACAGTAAATCTGCACAGCAGTTAGGGAGACATTAAGAAGATGCCGTGGAGCTTTCAGAGAATTTGGAATCTACTCACTGCAGTAACCGTTCCACTTCAGCCCTCAGTTTGGATGCCTCCTCTGGCGGAAGCTTCTCCAGCTCTCGGAATATAGGTGGAGGGAAGTCCATTTCTCCTTCCTCTGAGCTCTCTCCATCTCCCTTCTCTCCCCTCTCAGCCCCAGCAGTGGCCTTGTTTCGCTCTAGTTCTCCCATGGCTTGGACCAGGACATCCCGGGACAGTCCAGATTCCAACAGGGCCCAGATGAGCTGCTCCTGGAGGGCGGTCAAACGGCTCGGCCTTGCTTTGGCTGCCCTCTCCTCTCCCTCCATTTGTCCTGTCTCTTATCACACTTCTGCTTCACAAACAAACAGCACTCGCATGTGTTCTGTCACACTCAAATAGCAGCTGGACCGCCACTGTTGGGCCTCATAATGACTTGATCAGCCTCTCTTCAAATTAGGAGAAAGTATACTTTCATTTTCCTGTGTTGAATTCGCTCCTGATGTGTCCTGAGCTGCCTGGTTTTAGCTCTCCACCTGCTGTTTTGCTTTCAAAGGTCAATTTTCCTTTTTTTCTAACCTTCCTCCTCTTCACCCCCTCCTTCTTACAAGCGTCCTGTGAACTTTGTCCCCACTCCCTCAGTCCCCAACAGTGAGCAAAGTGTAATTTAAAAACAATAAGTAAAAGTGAGCAATGTTGGGATTATGACTCGATGCATAGAAAGAGCAAGTCTGAGACGTAACAGAAACAAGATGTAAAGCTACAAAAGGAAGATTGCACAATGTGTGAATGTGTTCTTTATTTGTGACATGTATTTTTGAGACCTAGGGAAGGTTTTTTGACATACTTTACATTTGCAGCTCATGTGCTCCAGTCAAATTATAGTAGGAGTTTGGGAAATTGGTTTAATGAAATATCTGAAATCAGACAAGATATTGCCCAAAGTATATTATTTTACTTTCTGCCACTAGATGTCACTGCTGTGTAATTTATACATCAGACTTCAGGAAGCAACTTGATCTGCACCTAATCTATCTGTTCTTTTCCTTTAAAAACATGGTAAATGGCCTGTATTTGTTTGAACCTTCTTAGGGTTCTACAACCCCCCAAGGCGCTTCACAACACAATCAGTCATTCACCCATACACACACATCCACACACTGGTGGGGATGAGCTACGATGTAGCCACAGCTGCCCCAACCAGAATCTGTCTTTTGAAGGACAATGCTTTGTGCACAAATAACCTCTTTTCTTATTTGTTAGCTTTACAATTTTTATACAATGTACAGAATAGAAATGTACAGCTGTTAAATTACTTAAAGATTTTTTTTCCTGAGTGGATTGAAAAGCTAATGGCTAGTCTGAGAAGGGCCAGATTAAAGGTGGATTACAACAAAACAACTCTAATCTCAAAACCTATCCCACTGCTGGAAATGTTCTCATTGCAGGATTATTTACTCAAAAATTTTGTCATTCTGCCACACTTCAGAGGCTATGAGGATGGAGTGTGCAGCTCTGGTTCTCTTAAATAAGTTAAAAAAACATACATTTTACACATGTAAAATCATATTGTGGAGTACAAGGCGTAAAGTACAGCTTAAAGCAGCAATCATGGGTTTTCCCCTTTTCAGGAATTATGCTAACCTAGAAATCTAGATCAAGAGTTGCCGAAGCAATGTGACTTAGCTCTGCACGTCGGTCTAGCCACGCTCCATTGGAACCTCCACAGCCCTGATCAGTCTAGTGACTGGCCAATCACAGCGCTCTATCATTTTGGTGGGCCTGATTTTACTGTGACTGAGCAAAACTAAGATGGGGATGGCTCGTTTGAAACGGCTTTGGCATCTGATTTGGACTATCTAGACTTGGGCTTTTCTTTGAGTCAAGAGCAGATAGAGGTTCTTAAAGGTGCAGTATGTAGAAATGAAGTAAAAATGACTTCCTGTGGTAAAATTAGGTTACTGCAACCACTTTAAACAACTCTGGAGCTTTTTACCAGCTGTTGCCCCATCACAATTGTCGGCACTGCAGCGTTAACTTGTAAGAGACCCGGCAACCCCACACTCACTGATGGTAAATAGCTGCGTCTCTCCTTCCTTTGTTTAGAAAGGAGAAAAACTGACAATCCAGCAACCAGCTGGACATATATGTTTCAGTATAACCTTTCTTCCAAAATGACTGAACATTGGACTCTTTTGGGATTTTCTCACTATATTCTCACATAGTGCACCTTTAAGTTTATGTAGAAAAAGGATGTATTTGTGTCTTCTTCCACAATGTATCGCAGAATGCTCCATAGGCTGACAGCAGTGAGTGTTAATGTCATGTAGTTTGTTGTACAGTAGCATACGGAGACTATCTTAGATCCCGCCCTATGACTGAGAGCCGTCAATGGGTCATGGCCAGGCTGTGGTCACATATAGGATTACTCTCCATGCTAGAACTATGTACATGATTTTTTTTTTTAGAAAATCACAAGGAAACTCCTACCCCTCCTACCAATAAGTAAAATTTTTTTGCTAAACCCGCCCCCCATCCCAGATGCAATTTTAACTGAGCGCCACTCAGCATTAGCCAATAGAGTTAGACATTTACTTACGTCCAGATGTCAATCATGGGGGCATAAGATGTGATACATTTTTCTACCTCTAGATGGAGTCCTATAACAACTATGGATTCATGCTTTAAAGGTCAGAGTTTATGAACTTTATAGGTTCAGTGAAGAAATTCCTCAGTCCTGTTCAAGCTTTGAGGCTGTTCAGTCTACTGCCTGAATGAAGAAGGATGAATATATCCTGGCCTGGATAGGCATGGTCCATTTCCACCACACACCAGTAAATAGAACAGTCCACTGAGACTGGTACCTATCATAAAATAGAGCTGGTGGTGAGACTACGTAATGATTTTGGTTTTGTTATTTGTCCACAATGTTTTCAGCCTTCTTCTCCAAACTGATCAAACAATCTATGACAGATCATTTATTCTTTATAACCATTCAGCTGATGCCCAAAAAGTAAATCCTCCTTTTTCACTAAAATCTACAAATTTTACTCCCAATGTTTGTCTTTCATTTACCTATTGTGTTTTATCACAAGAGTTGGCAGCAATGATAAGTTGGTGGGGATCTGGAAAAAAAAGGAAAAAAAATGGGCAACGACCTTTGAGAGTTAATGGAGTCTCTTATATTTCCTCTCTTTTCTGCTTAAAACGCTAACTTTCTCTGCCTTGATCATGTTATACTATTCTCATGCTCAGCCTATCAGCACCGTTTTGTGTCGAGCTCTTGTTACCTCACCCCACCCTTGGGAAGATGGCATTATACTGTATTTGGAAGGGTAACAGAGCTCCCTCTATCTCCCTGAGACGTGCCACTGACCTGTAATTAAGACCTATTGTACTATTCAGAGGAAACTCCTCACCCAAACGGACAGAGGGCAGTGTGTGTGTGTGTGTGTGTGTGTGTGTGTGTGTGTGTGTGTGTGTGTGTGTGTGTGTGTGTGTGTGTGGACTTCCAACAGCCCAGATACTGCTGTGACTAATGCTGCACCACACAAGCAGGGTTTATCAAAACGGAGCATATGCAGGACACATTAGAGTTCACATGTTCCCTCCAGCAGAACTCAAAGCTCTGCTGATTAGTAATGAGACACCATCCACACTTTCCATCTCTCATTAGCAAACTATTGCTCACCGCCTCGTGCTGCTAGCTTTCTCTCCACTTTGTCACTGACCCCCCCCCCCTCAAAAAATACACACACACACACACACACACACACACATGCACACCATTCAACCCCATTGATCATGCATGCAGAAATTTAACACACCCCTAATTCTTGTCCAAATAGCCTCAGTCCCACTTCCAGAGCTTCAACGGTGTCCAGACAGGGCTCTGGCTGCAGCACTCTATGAGAATGTAATTTATCTAAGGGACAATCACAAATTTAAATCTGTTGAGATGTGTGTTAAGAGTGAGACTTTGATCTGATCAGTATGTTTTCTTGCTGTGATGAGCAGCTTTAAAATGTTTTATACATTGACAGAAAAACATTCTTCACCGTTTGCTGCTAACTCAGCATCTTGCTTATACATACTGTAAGTCAAAGCTGTCATTGTCTTTGAACTGCTCAGACTACTGATCAGACTTAGCACTAGTTGCCGGGTCACATGTTGAGTCAGTGTTGAGAAGATTAGCCAGAGCTGGCTTTAGTAGCTACTAATTAAATGCTTAAACCTCAGCAATGAATGAGCACGCAGAGCACGCATAACCCTTCTGTTATATCACACTGGATAAGCCGGTTCACAATATGGAAGACATGTTATAACAGACAAACACTGTTTTGCTTGTGATGAATCAAGATCTCATACTTTATTACAATTATGTTTTTATTTAACAAGAACCCAAAATAGTATTTGTTTGATTGTAAATTGAAATAGTACAATATAAATTTAATTTAAATAAATCTCTCAGGATAAAAATTGAATATACTTTTCATCATTATGAATTGCAAAAAATCTGACTTCCAGCTGCCGCTTTGTTTGCACAGCTTCAAAACCCACTTTCAACAGGTTAGAACAGCAGATAAGTTCCTTTTATCTGTGAATCATATCTAATAACTCCTTATCTCAACTCATGTGGAAACTGACTCAACAGCCAGCACCGACAACAAGAACTAAAACGAAATTGACAGGAAGTTACAAAATCTTTTTTCAAAATAAAGCTTGATGACCACAAAATAGAGACAGTGAGATGCATTTTATTATTATTTTTCAACAACAACAACAACAATAACAACAATAATAACAACAACAACAACAATAACAACAATAACAATAATAATAATAACAACAACAACAATAATAATAATAATAATAATAATAATAATAATAATTATTATTATTATTATTAACAACAATAATAATAGTTATTTGGGTTGAATTTCTGTTTGTGAATGTTTGTTTATTTTTTATTTTGTTAAAAACATAAACAAACAAACAAAAAACAGAGACTGCTGCAAAATGACATTTATTTTCCATCAACAGTGTTCCACTATATTTGAGGCCAACAAGTTGTTCTGAGCTTTCTAAACTTTCTTCTATTTCTGCTCAATGAAGAGATAAATGCATTATCTCTGTTATCATTTAAAACAACTAATTCTTTATAACTGTTTGGCTGAAGCCCAAGATGTGAATCTTGTACCCAATTAAGTGTAGTATTTTCTTTAAATGTGTGCATTTGCTAAAGGAAATAGGATTTGCATCAGAAATTATTATAATTATAATAATAATAAATTATAATTTTGTTTTAATCCATTATTGAAGGTTTGCATTTTGTTTATTTGGGATAAGATAAGATAAGATAAGATAAGATAAGATAAGATAAGACTTTACTGATCCCACAGTGGGGAAATGTATGTTACTACAATACAGAGATGGATAGAGGATTTTGATTAAGTGAAGATATAATTTTCTGGTTTTATTAGAAAAAGCATTGAGCCCAAGTGCGACTAAATCCCAACGGCATGTCTTCCAGTGATGAAGCAGAGTCTGGGGACCTTGTGTTAGTCTCTCCAGTCTCTGAAGCTGAGGTCACTGAGGTGGTCAAAAAATCCTCGGTGGCAAGGCTCCAGATGACATCCGCCTGGAGTTTTTTAAGGCTCTGGAAATTGTGAAGTTGTGTTGATTGAAATGGCTCTGTAATATCCCATGGACATCGAGGGCAGTTCCAGTGGCTTGGAGTGGTGGTCTCCCTTTTCAAAAGGGGGGACCGCAGGGTGTTTTTCAACTGCAGGGATCACACTTCTGAGTCTTCTTGGTAACGTCTATTCAAGGGTCCTGGAGAGGAGGGTCTGTTAGATTGTGGAACCTCAGATTCAGGAGGAACATTTTGGTTTTCATCCTGGCTGTGGAACACTGGACCTGCTCTATACCCACAGGGGGGTCTGGAGGGTGGTGGGAGTATGCCCAACCAATCTATGTGTGTTTTGTAGATTTGGAGAAGGTGTTTGACCACATCCCTCGAGGAACCCTGTGGAAGGTAGTCCAGGAGTATGGGGTACCAGGCCTATGGGCTGTTAGGTCCCTGTAAGGCTGGTGTCAGAGCTTGGTCCGCGTTGCCGGCAGTAAGTCGGGCTCGTTCCCAGTGAGAGTTGGACTCTGCCAAGGCTACCCTTTTTCACTGATTCTGTTCTTTACGGACAAGATTTCTAGGAGCAGCCAAGGTGTTGCGGGAATCCGTTTTGGTGGCCTGAGGATGAGGTCTATGCTTTTTGCAGATGATGTGGTCCTGCTGGCTTCATCAGAACGTGATCCCCAGCTCTCGCTGGAGTGGTTGGCAGCCGAGTGTGAAGTGGCAGGTATGAGAATCAGCTCCTCTAAATCCAAGACCATGGACTTGAATCGGAAAAGGGTAGAATGTCTTCTCTGGGCCAGGGACCAGGTTCTTCCTCAACTGGAGGAGTTTAAGTATCTTGGGGTCTTGTTTATGAGTGAGAGAAAAATGGATCAGGAGATTGATAGGCAGATTGGTGCTGCTTCTGCAGTGCTGCAGGTGTTGCACCGGCCTCTCATGGTGAAGAGAGAGCTGAGCTGGAAGGCAAAACTCTAATTTTACTGATTGATCTACCCTCACCTATGGAGGTTTGGGTAGTGACCGAAAGAATGAGATCGCGATTACAAATGGACAAAAGGAGAATTCTCTGCAGGGTGTCTGGGCTCTCTCTTAGAGATAGGGTGAGACGCTCGGTCATCTGGGAGGGACTCGGAGTAGATCAGCTGTTCCTCCTCATCAAGAGGAGCCAGTTGAGATGGCTCAGGCATCTAGTTAGGATGCCTCCTGGACGCCTCCCTGGTGAGGTTTTCCGGGCACGTCTAATCGGTAGAAGACCCAAAGGACACGCTGGAGAGACTATGTTTCTCGGCTGGCCAGGGAAAGCCTTGTGGCCCCTAGAAGAGCTGGCCTAAATGGCTGGGGAGAGGGAAGTCTAGGCATTCCTGCTTAGTCTACGTCCCCGTGACCCATCTCTGGATAAGTAGAAGAGAATGAATGGAGGGATATTAGAAAAAGCAGCTTTTGGCATTTTTACTCTGCTGATATAATTAATTTACATGTTGACTGAATAGATGGCTTGTGACTGGTTGTGAATCTGGACCTTTTATTAAAAAATGGATAATTCTTGTTTCTTATAATTGAGTATGTTGAGATTACTTTTAGTAAAACTAGCATTATAACATCCATCCATCCATTTTCATCCGCTTATCTGGGGTTGGGTCGCGTGGGCAGTAGCCTAGACTTCCCTCTCCCCAGCCAGTTGGCCGGCTCCTCTGGGGGAATGCAAAGGCGTTCCCTGGCCAGCCGTGAGACATCGTATCTCCAGTGTTATAACAGTAAACTAAAATAATGTTTTCAGCATTATTATTATTATAAGTATTAGTAGTAGTAGTAGAGGGAGTAGTAGAAGTAGTAGTACTTTTTATTATTTTTTCCCGCTTCACTCTAATGCTTTGGTGAATTATCTGGTCTGATTGCCTTTCCACTTTACAGACTTTATAATTTATACTTTGTTAAAAAAAATTTAAGCAACTGATTAGAAGCGGGTGTTGTTGGCGTACTTGATGCTTTTTTTAACTTTGAGTTTTCCCCCCGCTCTGCCTCAGCTGAATATTTAGATTGTTTTCCCCTTTAAACGATGGGAAAACTTCGAGCACGCTGCCATGATTTTATTTTGAAGATCCCTCCCGGAAGCAGTATGGCTGACAACAACAGACTTGATTCCTGAGCAGCGTGTCTCGTTGGGATGAGAGAGGGACAGCAGCGGGGACTGAGTGGAGGAGGTGGAGTCTGTCCCGGTCTGCATCTGACCCGTTCCCTCAGTCACCCCGGGCCAAACCCGCCCAGCTCCTCTCACTCTCCGCCTGTCCTCCCGCACCGCACCGCTCGGCCCGGACACACACAGCGCTAGCCAGACTCACACACCGCCAGGACACGGAATGGAGACGGAAGGGAGCCAGAGCAGCCTGTCCGCCTCGGACTCCCCCCACGACCCTTGGTAACTTTCTTTTTTTAACTTTCTGTGATTGTTCGGCTCACACACACACACGTATCAGAAACAAACCTGGTATCCTCACACGCACACACCTCCTCAAACACACACGCGCACTAGAACAAGAGATGGGACTGAAACCGAACTTTGTTATGACTAAACCACAAATAAACAGCAAACTCACGGAATGATCCTCTGTTGACTCAAAAAATCAAAAAAATTTTTTTCTTTTTTTACAGCAAAATGTTCATAGGAGGACTCAGTTGGCAAACAACACAAGGTAAGTCTTTTTCCAACTCCTGCTCTACACATAAGTTGCATATTAAAACAATCACAGCATGAGATGGATGAAACAAGCAGAATTTATTAAACCAGGACTTGATGACGTTTCTGTTTGCTCTCTCTCTCTCTATTTTTTTAAATTAAATTTAAGAAGCCAGCTTCTGAATGAATGCCCCATTCAGAAATACCACAGACTGAGTGATTCATGAAAACTCACTCAAAGTGTCATTTTAAATTATTCTGAGCTTTTCAGTCTTGGTTGCCTCGTGTTTAGTGTTTTGAACTTTTAATAAAAGCTTGAATCAATTTGTTGAGACAAATCACAGCAAACTACCCGAACTTAGTTTCAAATTAAAAACTAAAAGTGACACTTGTTGGTTTGTTCACTGTATGATCGTGTTTTTGTTTCCCAGAGGGTCTGAAGGAGTACTTCTGCAAGTACGGCGAGGTGAAAGAGTGTATGGTGATGCGAGATCCGGTTACTAAGCGCTCGAGGTGAGGGAGCTGTGGGCTCGGCTGTGCCGCCGGAGCTGAAAGTTTATCTGACCTCCGTGATTCCTCTTTGCTCATAATGTATCATTTCACATCAGCATAAGTTCCTGTGTCAGTAATACCTTCTCCCCTGATGCCTGCAGGGGCTTTGGATTCGTCACCTTTATGGATCAGGCGGGCGTGGATAAAGTTTTGGCCCAAACCAGACATGAGTTGGACTCAAAAACAGTGAGTTCTCTGTGTTAACTTCCCTCCACTGGCTAATCCCATAGCACAGTGTTTGATTAGTGGATTTTCCGATAATCCGCCTGAAAGGTGTAACGTTGCTACATTTTAGTGTGTTTACTAAGGGCTCCACTCTGCCGATGTTTTTCCCGTCCTGTGCCACCACTAATACTTAGCCGGACAGGCGGTCTCGCGTCTGCATCTGCTGCCGCACCTCAGATGGGAGCACTTTACATGATAAAGTCATTAGTCCACACATGGGAGAAAGTGCTCTCTCATCTCAGTTCTGCCAAACAAGGCAAGAAAATGTCACCCAGTGTCAATTTCCATAGAAACAAGGGAACCAGGACAGGGTTGCATTCACTGCCAGTCTTTGATTTGGCCTCTCAGAAGAGTGAACTGAGTCCTTTTTTCCTTTCTGTCCCAAAGGGGTTGAATTGAGCTGACAGAAAGTTCCTCAATGGAACAAGTAAATGCAACCTGAAACCATCAAGGTGTGAAAGCAGCGACAATCAAACTCCTGTGAGCTTCCTGTGGATCTCAGCAAGAATAAACCGGTGCGTTTAGTGAGGATGGAGTCAGAGCGACGCATTCAGGCCCTTTCACCTGCGTGAATTGAAACTTAGAATGTATTAATGGCCTGTGCCGGAGGATGTGTGTGTGTGATTGAGTGTGTATGTGTGTATCTTTTTGTCAGTAATGAATGTGGGCTGGTCTGGGAACAATGTGGCCTGTTGGTTGCCATAGGGATCAGTGCCCCCGCCTCTCAGTTCATTTAGGATTTGCGATTGGCTGCGGGTTAGTCACTGTATTGAAATGAGGGAAGGTATTTCTTCTTTCGCCTTTTGTGCTGGGAGCGACTCACCCGCTCAAGTATTTGGAAGATAAATGGAAGTTGCAAAGGAGGGAATAGAAACCCCGAATAAACTGTCTGTAGAACATTTTCAAGTTTAGCATAATTAAGAGTTTAAAGTTGATAACGGCTCCCTTCTGCTTTAGTGTCACTTGCAGGCACGACAGCAGCTCCATCATGGTGGGACGCCACTAACTCACCATGGGGTTCGTTTCCTTGGTGACACCCCTCACCCCCCATTTCTACAGTAAAAAACAGCTCTGTCACAAAAGAAGAATCACTAGCAATGCACACTAGTTCTAACCACCAGAGACCGGTTATGTCCTCACCAGTGATGGGAATAACGTCGTTTAAAATAACGGCGTTCTTATTTTGGGTAACGGAATAATCTAATTAATTACTTTTCCCACTGTTGCAACACCGTTACCGTTACTGGGGATGGAAGGTTGTGCGTTACTATGTGCTTGTTGAACGTTGAGCAACAGTGTGAGGCTTTCTGACCGCCACACTTCAGCTGCAGCCAGGGAGAGAGAGGTGTCGGTGGCGCACTTACAAACACGATGATGATTGGCCGGGTGGGCGGAGACCCTCACTGTCTCAGGCCTAGTCCACACGTAGCCGGGGTTTTTAAAAACGAATATCCGCCCCTCCAAAAACTTGCATCCACACCACCTCGTTAAAAAAAAAAACTCTGTTCACACGTACCTGGATAAATACGTTGTTAAGGACATGCCAGACCTGTAGGCGGCAGTACTTCCCCCGTTCTTAACCTCGTCCTTCGTCTGTGGTCTTCCGCAAGGAGCAGTAATTCCGCTTGCAAAAACAAACAAGCAAAAAGCGCTTGGACAACTGATAAAGCGAGCGCAGCTCTGAGGGCATCCATGCTGTCGGCTAGTGTAAACACAGGTCGCACACGTGATGTCAGCATTTTTTTGTCGCGGAAAGTGACGTTGCGGACCTTAAAACTCCAGTTTTGTCTGTCCACACGCAGACACCCAAAACGGAGAAAACGCAGATCTTCATTTTGGCCTGAGTTTTTAAAAAGATCCGTTTTCGTGTGAAAAAACACTGTTTTCGTGTGGATGACAGGCCGCCAAAACGTAGAAAAATATCTACGTTTTGACAGATCCCCAGCTACTTTTGGACAGGGCCTCAGTCACTGCATGCTGTAGACACAACAGAGCAGTGATCGGAATAATGCCATTTAAAATAACCGTGTTACTAAAAAATATATATATTTTTCAGTAACGAGCAAACTAATTAATTACCATCTTCTTTTATCAAAACGTCGTTTCTGTTACTGATAAGAAAATGCGTGAGTTAAGCTGCGTGGTGTGTTGAAGCTGTCATCAGCTGATCAGGAGCTAAAGAGGTAGATGTTTTCATCCAAGCGCATCACGGCCGTGAAGAACGAGGAAGACGTGATGAATAGTCTACGCAGGTGTGGATCAGCAGCCGTGCCCCTTCTTAGCGTGACAGCGGGACGTCCCGAAGTTCCGCTCACCTGTTCACCGCTCAGACGTCCTGATCTTCTACCTTCCTAGATCATCCAGCTGTAATCTGTTTCTGATCATGTCTTTAGTCCCGCTGTAACACTGATGCATCAGTCTCAAACGTCATGGAGCTCAGGAGTTATTAGAACTACCTGTGTGTGTTTACCACCCAGCTTCAGTGGTAGGGTCTGACCCAAGTTAGTAAATTTAAGTCCTCCATCAGATATGTGCCTCTTTTAGTGTCATTTTAAGGGATTTTATTTATTTATTTAACCGTTACTAGATTACCAGCAACAGAAATGCTACTAAAAACACACAATTAGGTGAAGCTGGAAAAATGAAAATACTGTGCAAAATTACATTCATTTCAGTAATTTAACTAGACTGAGAGACCATGTAAAGGCTCAGGAACCTTTACAGGTGTTTCTATTTGCAATTTTAAATTTTGACTGATTGGGGTCTTGTTAAATATCACACAGTGACCTTTTAATAGTCTAGATAAGTGTAATGCTCCTGTTAGTAGTTGTAGGGTTTGAGAAATTGAGTGCTTTAAGAGCTTAATATATTACCTCTACTTATGACCAGAATCAGAATCAGAATGAATTTTATTGCCAGCGCTCCAGCGATCCAGAGCATAGGAACTTGACTCCACAGTACAGCCTGACCAAGATTACACACACACATATAGACAGCACAGATACAGGCAGGCCACTAGAGCAGCCTTGACGGCGCTCACCAATAAGCTGTGATACTCTATATAAATATAGAATATCAACCTGCTTGGTCTTTGTGTTTAATTAGAAGATTCTAGGATTCTTTGTTTTATTCAGGGATTGTAAACACTTCGTTTTGATTCAGAAAAGAGTCAGGTTTATAAAAGTAAGGATTTATTTTTAAAACAAATAAAACATGACAGATTAACTAATATTTCTGTGACGGATGAATCTAGATGTGGTATATGGTGCCTATGTGTGAATGCAATGTTATCAGAACTTCTGTATCTAGGAGAGCTGACTTCTAGGTGTAAAAGAATTTGGTTTGCGTTAAACTAAGAAGTTGATTCTTATCAAAAAGCATCAGACGCCATCTGTGTGTCTACTTCACCCGTTGTCAGAGACCCTCTTCGTGGATCCGAAGGTCAGAGAGGTCGGATGACCTCTGGCACCCAGGTCCAGTAGATTGACCACAGCACCGACTTCTCCAGTCCAGAGGTGTCTCGGGTCACGACAGATGGATGGAACCGCGCGTCTGGGACTCTTAAGGAGTCGGATCAATATCAGCTTGTTCTGCAGGAACCGTTTGCTATATCAGCTTCGCAGGTGCAAAAAGATTTTGACGACGTGTCAAAAGCTTTGATGTGTTAGAGAGGTTTTGCTTCAGATGGCCGGTCTGAAGCTTTCTCAAGAACAGTTGAATCACAAGCGTGATCCAGTTTTAATGTTCTCATGTTATGATTTGTGTAGCCAACCAGAGGTTGACAAGTTGAAGAATGTTACCAAGACAACTCAGAAACACGCCTTCTTTGATACCGGATGCTCTGATCTGGGGTAAAGGACTATCTATGTGTCACACGTTTGACTTAACTTTACTTTGTCCTTGTGTGAGTGCAAATGGTGATGACCTTGTCATATCAACATACTGAAACATATATCGATCAATGTCATCATAACATTCATTTCAAACTTCAATCATTGAGCACAGATTAATGAAAGCATTTCATTATATTATAATTATTATAAGTAGCAATAAACAAATGTTTATTTAATGATTATTTAACTTATAAGTTTTAAAAGTTCATATTTAACTTAAGAAATTATTCTTTGATTTAGCAACTAATCCTAGCTACGAATGTTCCTTACCCCCAAATTCCACTACCTCCGCTCCGCTGCGCTCCGCTCCGCTGCACTCCGACACGAACGCCGGAGCAAAATCGGTCCCGTTCTAGTCAATCAAAGCAATTCCACTACTGTGGCCGTGCTCCGGCAGTGCGGCGCCGTGCGCCGCCCTCTGTTCCGGCGTCCGGCAAAAATAGAATCGATCCTATTTTCGCCGGACGCCGGAGCACCTCCGCAGTAAATGGACTGAAATCACAACGGCCCAACAGGAAAAGGAGCAAGCACAATTTCCGTATTTCACAATAAATCGATAAACAAAAGGCGTTTTTTGTTTCATATGCACAGGTTTAACAACTTTTAACAACTATCAATGGCGGCTGAAGTTTAAATGCACAAAATTAAGCCATAAATACAGTTTCCACTATCAAAGTAGTCACACTTTGTTGATCCAAACATTGCTGATCTGTCAACACGAATGATGGGCAGATTAAACAGTTCATGCCGATGCTTCTCCCACACAACGGGTGTTTGGATCTAACTTCCGCGTTTATTGCTCGGACTGTATCGCAAGATCTCGAAAATCCCGCGCATGCTTATTTGCCCCCCTCAGGTCTCCGCACCGGAGCGGAGCCGTTGTAGAGCGGGTACCAGTAAAAATTGAGTTCGGAAGCGAGCGGCTGCGGAAGGCGGGGGCGGACCGGAGCGGAGCGGAGGTAGTGGAATTTGGGGGTTATTCGGAGGCATGAAGAGTCCTGACGATAAGGGAAGCTTGGATCTTGAGGAGAGAACATCATTGTTGACAACACGTTATCATGTGTTCAG